GATCTTGCGATACATGGCCCCATTCATCCTCCCCTCAATACGGTGGAGTCGTCCTGTCCCATTTGCAGAAAAGCATCCCCAAAGAATGATGTTTCCACCTCCATGCTTCACGGTTGGGATGGTGTTCTTGGGGTTGTACTCATCCTTCTTCTTCCTCCAAACACGGCGAGTGGAGTTTACACCAAAAAGCTCTATTTTTGTCTCATCAGACCACATGACCTTCTCCCATTCCTCCTCTGGATCATCCAGATGGTCATTGGCAAACTTCAGACGGGCCTGGACATGCGCTGGCTTGAGCAGGGGGACCTTGCGTGCGCTGCAGGATTTTAATCCATGACGCCGTAGTGTGTTACTAATGGTTTTCTTTGAGACTGTGGTCCCAGCTCTCTTCAGGTCATTGACCAGGTCCTGCCGAGTAGTTCTGGGCTGATCCCTCACCTTCCTCATGATCATTGATTCCCCACGAGGTGAGATCTTGCATGGAGCCCCAGACCGAGGGTGATTGACCGTCATCTTGAACTTCTTCCATTTTCTAATAATTGCGCCAACAGTTGTTGCCTTCTCACCAAGCTGCTTGCCTATTGTCCTGTAGCCCATCCCAGCCTTGTGCAGGTCTACAATTGTATCCCTGATGTCCTTACACAGCTCTCTGGTCTTGGCCATTGTGGAGAGGTTGGAGTCTGTTTGATTGAGTGTGTGGACAGGTGTCACGATCGTGTGAAGGAGCAGACCAACGCGCAGCGTGTTGAGTGAACATCGTAGACTTTATTAAGTTAAAGCACGAATAAACAATAAACCACGATCATGAAGTTCCACGGTGCACTCACCGTAACGGAAACAAAAACCCACAACCCCACAGGAAAACATACAGAAATAAATATGGCTCCCAATCAGAGATAACGAGCCGAACAGCTGACACTCGTTACCTCCGATTGGGAGTCATTGAACAAACCTAGAAAAACAACAACCTAGACACCCAACATAGAACACAAACACATAGACTGCACACACCCTGGATAAACAATAATGAGTCCCAACACCAGGGTGTGACAGTACCCCCCCCTAAAGGCGCGCACTCCGGGCGCACCAGCATACAGTCTCGGGGAGGGTCTGGGTGGGCGTCTGTCCACGGTGGTGGTTCTGGCTCCGGCCTAGACCACCACCCCACCATAGTCACTTCCCGCTTATGTAGTCTCCTCCAAATGACCCCCACCGGTTTAAGGGGCAGCACCTGACTAAGGGGCAGTACCGGACTAAGGACCAGCACCTGGATAAGGGGCAGCACCGGGCTAAGGGGCAGCACCGGGCTAAGGGGCAGCACCGGGATAAGGACCAGCACCGGGATAAGGACCAGCACCAGGCTAAGGAACAGTACCTGACTAAGTGGCAGCACCGGACTGAGGGGCAGCTCCGGACTGAATGGCGGATCCTGGCTGGCCGGCTCTGGCGGATCCTGCTGCTCATGGCTGGCTGACGGATCTGGCTGCTCATGGCAGGCGGAAGGCTCTGGCTGATCCCGTCTGGCGGAAGGCTCTGGCTGATCCGGTCTGACGGAAGGCTCTGGCTGCTCCTGTCTGGCGGAAGGCTCTGGCTGATCCTGTCTGACAGAAGGCTCTGGCTGATCCTGTCTGGCGGAAGGCTCTGGCTTATCCTGTCTGGCGGAAGGCTCTGGCTGATCCTGTCTGGCGGAAGGCTCTGGCTGATCCTGTCTGGCGGAGAGCTCTAGCGGCTCCGATCTGGCGGACGGCTCTGAAGGCTCATGGCAGACGGGCGGCTTTGTAGGCTCTGTACAGACGGGTAGTTCAGACGGCGTTGGGCAGACGGACAGTTCAGACGGCGTTGGGCCGACAGGCAGTTCAGGCGCCGTTGGGCAGACGGGCAGTTCAAACGGCGTTGGGCAGACGGGCAGTTCAGACGGCGTTGGACAGACGGGCAGTTCAGACCCCGTTGGGCAGACGGACAGTTCAGGCCCCGTTGGGCAGACGGCAGACTCTGGCCGTCTGAGGCGCACCGTAGACTTAGTGCGGGTGGCCGGAACAGGCCGGGTCGGGTTGGCGACGCGCACCGTAGTCTTAGTGCGGGTGGCCGGAACAGGCCGGACCGGGCTGGCGACGCGCACCGTAGTCTTGGTGCGGGTGGCAGGAGCAGGCCGGGTCGGGCTGGCGACGCGCACCGTAGTCTTGGTGCGGGTGGCAGGAGCAGGCCGGGTCGGGCTGGCGACGCACACCGTATCCCTGGTGCGAGTGGCCGGAACAGGCCGGGCCGGGCTGGCGAAGCGCACCGTATCCCTGGTGCGTGGAGTAGGAACAGGCAGGGCTGAGCTGGCGACGCACACCGTATCCCTGGTGCGAGTGGCCGGAACAGGCCGGGCCGGGCTGGCGAAGCGCACCGTATCCCTGGTGCGTGGAGTAGGAACAGGCCGGTCCATACCGGGAACACACACCACTGGCCTCAACCGAGGATCAGGAACGGGCCGGACCGAACTGGTTACACACCCCAGTACCTCACGCCGTGCCTCAACACCTTCCCTCTCTGCTTTACCCAGTAGCCCCCTTGACCTGGTAGCCCACTGAATCCTTCCCTTCTCTGCCTCCGTCAGCCCCCTTAACCTGGCAGCCCTCTGACTCTGCCTTGTGGCGGCCTCCTGCTGCTCCGTCGCCCAAGCCATGTGCCCCCCCCCAAAAATTTCTTGGGGTTGCCTCTCGTCCTTACGACGTTGAACCTGCTGCCGCCGATGCTCCTCTCTTGCCAGGGCCTTGATCTTCCCCCAAGGTCCCTTGCCTCCGAGCATGTCCTCCCAGGACCACGCTGTGCCCACCTGGGCCATCGCCAGCCTCTCCATCTCCTTGCCCGGCGCCTCCTCCCATGTCCAGTCACCTTGCTCCTGGACACGCTGCTTGGTCTTTCTTTGGTGGGTTTTTCTGTCACGATCGTGTGAAGGAGCAGACCAACGCGCAGCGTGTTGAGTGAACATCGTAGACTTTATTAAGTTAAAGCACGAATAAACAATAAACCACGATCATGAAGTTCCACGGTGCACTCACCGTAACGGAAACAAAAACCCACAACCCCACAGGAAAACATACAGAAATAAATATGGCTCCCAATCAGAGATAACGAGCCGAACAGCTGACACTCGTTACCTCCGATTGGGAGTCATTGAACAAACCTAGAAAAACAACAACCTAGACACCCAACATAGAACACAAACACATAGACTGCACACACCCTGGATAAACAATAATGAGTCCCAACACCAGGGTGTGACAACAGGTGTCTTTTATACAGGTAACGAGTTCAAACAGGTGCAGTTAATACAGGTAATGAGTGGAGAACAGGAGGGCTTCTTAAAGAAAAACTAACAGGTCTGTGAGAGACGGAATTCTTACTGGTTGGTAGGTAATCAAATACTTATGTCATGCAATAAAATGCAAATTAATTACTTAAAAATCATACAATGTGATTTTCTGGATTTTTGTTTTAGATTCCGTCTCTCACAGTTGAAGTGTACCTATGATAAAAATTACAGACCTCTACATGCTTTGTAAGTAGGAAAACCTGCAAAATCAGCAGTGTATCAAATACGTGTTCTCCCCACTGTATAGAACAGTGTGTACTTTGAAATGTATGGAGAGGATGAACATGAAATAACAATGTTTCTAAAACATTTGACTGTTTGACCTTGAAATGCTGCTGTTTTAATGCCATCATTCTATAGCTCTAATCATATTGCTATTAATTAATTTATGACAAATAATGTCAAATAGTAAAGACAATTATATTTATTTATTCCCCATTTAAGTCTAAATGCTTTTAAATCTTGGCCTATACTATTTCATCCTAGGCCTACTTCTTAAAAATAATAATAATCCTAATGATAGAAAATAACGTTTCTTAACGGTGAAATTCCATTCCTTTCTGTTGTTCGTACGCAGTTGTGTAACCTGGGAACCATCTGTGCCCGCCGTTCGCTGCAAAAACATTTGAGAGTCGCCGTTTGTCCAAATGTCCATAAATACTGAATGTGCACGGCTGGACCCCTAGTCTCCAGCCAGGAGCCAATAAACAAGCCCTCGCCATGCTGACATTCTACATTTCATCTGGAGGCTTGAGGAGTCAAATACATCCCCAGACGGGGGCTGCTCTGTCAAATGGCTTCCCACAGAGTCTCCATGCTAGCCAGGCAGGAGAAGCGGCGAGGAGAGGGGCGATGGAGGGAAAAGAGTGGAGCAGGGCTACAGGGAGAGGAAACCTGCTGGAATCATAATAGCCTTAAATAGGCCTGGGGATGGGGACTCCATCAATATAGCCCCAAATGTCATATAGCCATTGTGGCGGTAGTGTGCTGTTGTAATGGGAAAGTAACTGGTGCTTATGGGAGGGAGATGGCTACCTGCGGTGAGGGGAGAATGCCATGTACAGCCTGTTCCTCCGTAGGGGGCTTACGGAGCACTCGCCGTGCGCTGCTGCTACTGGTACACGGCTGTGAACCGGGGAAGGAAAGGAGAGAAATACAACCCAGGGTTTTGGGAATAAAAGGCCAGAGCTACTGCACAGCGACCAAGAGATTTCCTTTATCTGGCAACCTGTGGTTTCCAGGCGATTCAAGTCTTTCACTTCTAGCACGGAACCCTGCCGCGAACCCAGGAACAAAATACAGAATCACATTAGAAGTTAGCGCTGTATGATAATTAAAAATTTTTGCGGTTTAATCGGCATTTCACTTTTCCATTAATTCGCGGTCCTTCCGACAAAGAAAAGGTTTCGCAAATAAAATAATTTTTGATTTAAATAAGAATTCGGAATTCTTTCCTTTCCGCTCACACACCCGCACCCCTACAACACAACCGCCTGCGAATACACAAATTCTGCACATAAATTGCACCTAGCAGCAGGTGAGAAAGTACTACTCACAGCGTTTTTGAAAGCCCAGCACCCCAGAACGTCAATGGCAAAACAAAATGGTGATCAGGGGAGAACCTGCGGGAGAGCGGTGCAGATCAGAGGAGAGTAGTGAGACCCCCTACCTGGGTGTCGCGTTGCCTCCACTCCTGGGTCTGCTGCTGGTGCTGGTGCAGGGCGGCCCGCGCCTCCCTCTCTACGGTGCTCACCTCCCGCTGGCGCTGCTGGACCAGATTGTCCCTCTCCGTGCTGTACTGCTGCTGTAGACGCATCCTCTCCTGCTCCTGCCCTGCATGCTGCTCGCACATCTGATTGGACAACAGGAGGAGAGAGGAAGAAGACTACAATCAGCCCCAGCCCTGTCGTCATGACAATTTGTCCATCAATCCACCCATACATCCCTTCCATCCCTACCCACACGCCAATGCGCCTCGCCGTTGCACAAAGGGCAGGACCCCCAAAAAATGACTTGATCACTCCACGACATAACGCAATTATTTTACATCATTATTACCTCACGCACACTCTTCCCCCACGTCCCCACCCTAATTCAATCCCACAATCTCTTGCTCTCTCTCCAAATCGGACTTCTGTCGCCCCTCTCCTATCGGCATATAAAAGAGCAGTTAGCTTGGGCTGTCTATGCAGGGAGGCTGTGAGGGGTTAGCCATCTGGCTACTGGAGGAGCTACCCTCGCCCCATGCTATGAGTCTCACAGCGTGGGGAAATCGGCTTAGTAAGGGCGATGCCTATCATCATTATACTACGCCCCACTCAGAGGACGTGAGGAGAAGGAAGAAAGGAACACAAACTTCGGAGGGGAGATCGAATGTGTTAGTTCTACCTGTCATCATATTTATTCAGAGTCCGACAGACTGCCGCATAAGAATCAAATCATACAATCTCAGTGTTCGCTTTAAAATGTTGGGACATTCAACTCGGCTGGTTGCCTATCGCCGCCAAATGATTGTAGCTGTACGGGTCTACGCTGACAATGAGCGAGTATTTGGAAGACAAAATACAAAAAGCTTCCGACAAGCTGACCAACAGAAATGCTACCCTAACCGACACACTGAGACAGTGAGTCATCGCCTGATAGAATTAACACAAAACCTAAAAGAAAAAAGATGGGGGAAAAACACAAAAGAATCCTCCAAAAGAAAGAACCCCTTTACAAACATACCATGCTGTCAGTCAGCTGAGCTAGGCTATCCCAGTGTCTACAGACAGCTCCACTCTGCAGCGTTAGCTCTGTTAGCCTAGCGCTGCGGATCTGACACGAGTCACCTGCTGTGAGGTAAAGCCTGGTGGCGGAGTGCTGAGAATGCTAAAGCCCAAGCACCGCCAGTCTCTGCCTTTTTCCCAGGCTCCGCTCGCTCTGCTCTCACTCCCCCATGGCGGGGTACCCGTGACCCTGTCCCGTCCCTGCGGTGTGCTCCCCTGCCGGGGCTGAGAAAGGCCAGCAGGGGCCCTGGGCTGGGGCACAGCTCCAGCTCCAGCTTTGAAGCTAATCCTCACACATACTACCAAAACACTCACTCACACATACTACTAAAACACTCACTCACACATACTACTAAAACCCTCACTTCACACATACTACCAAAACACTCACTCACACATACTACCAAAATACTCACTCACACATACTATAAACACTCACTCACACATACTACACTCACTCCAACATACTACCAAACACTCACTCACACATACTACCAAAACACTCACTCACACATACTACTAAAACACTCACTCACACATACTACTAAAACACTCACTCACACATACTACCAAAACACTCACTCACACATACTACCAAAACACTCACTCACACATACTACCAAAACACTCACTCACACATACTACCAAAACACTCACTCACACATACTACCAAAACACTCACTCACACATACTACCAAAACACTCACTCACACATACTACTAAAACACTCACTCACACATACTACTAAAACACTCACTCACACATGCTACTAAAACACTCACTCACACATACTACTAAAACACTCACTCACACATACTACCAAAACACTCACTCACACATACTACCAAAACACTCACTCACACATACTACTAAAACACACACACACACACACACAAGTGGGACATAAACAGTAGTTTTCAGAAAGACATCACACAGCTAGAGAGCTCATTTCTAGGGCAAAACCCTCTTAGACAGTTTACCACAAACACAAACAAAGCATTGTGTGAGACTGGCCATCTTCCGTATTATTGTCATTGGAGATGTTCGGCTTCGCTGGTCCCACAGAGTTAATACATGACATCTGCTCTGTAATTCAATTCCATTCACTATAATATAATTAATTCAGTAATATAATAGAGACCCAATCATATCCAGCAACTGGATTTCACAGTCATGCAGAATCACGCCATAGATCATGATTCATATCTCCACAGCAAGTCAGAGTCTGATGGGCTGACTGATCAGCAGGGGAGGAAGGAGAGAGGGAGAACTGTTTGGCCTCAGCAGGGGAGGAAGGAGAGAGGGAGAACTGTCTGGCCCCAGCAGGGGAGGAAGGAGCGAGGGAGAACTGTCTGGCCTCAGCAGGGGAGGAAGGAGAGAGGGAGAACTGTCTGGCCTCAGCAGGGGAGGAAGGAGAGAGGGAGAACTGTCTGGCCTCAGCAGGGGAGGAAGGAGAGAGGGAGAACTGTCTGGAAGGGGAGAGGGAAGAACTCCATTCTTCACAGTGGGGAGTGTAGAAGTGTGCCCTGTGTATGTGTGTACAGTGGGGGAAAAAAGTATTTAGTCAGCCACCAATTGTGCAAGATTTCTGGCTCTCACAGACCTGTAACTTCTTCTTTAAGAGGCTCCTCTGTCCTCCACTCGTTACCTGTATTAATGGCACCTGTTTGAACTTGTTATCAGTATAAAAGACACCTGTCCACAACCTCAAACAGTCACACTCCAAACTCCACTATGGCCAAGACCAAAGAGCTGTCAAAGGACACCAGAAACAAAATTGTAGACCTGCACCAGGCTGGGAAGACTGAATCTGCAATAGGTAAGCAGCTTGGTTTGAAGAAATCAACTGTGGGAGCAATTATTAGTAAATCGAAGACATACAAGACCACTGATAATCTCCCTCGATCTGGGGCTCCACGCAAGATCTCACCCCGTGGGGTCAAAATGATCACAAGAACGGTGAGCAAAAATCCCAGAACCACACGGGGGGACCTAGTGAATGACCTGCAGAGAGCTGGGACCAAAGTAACAAAGCCTACCATCAGTAACACACTACGCCGCCAGGGACTCAAATCCTGCAGTGCCAGACGTGTCCCCCTGCTTAAGCCAGTACATTATATTATATATTATTATTATGTCCAGGCCCGTCTGAAGTTTGCTAGAGTGCATTTGGATGATCCAGAAGAGGATTGGGAGAATGTCAAATGGTCAGATGAAACCAAAATATAACTTTTTGGTAAAAACTCAACTCGTCGTGTTTGGAGGACAAAGAATGCTGAGTTGCATCCAAAGAACACCATACCTACTGTGAAGCATGGGGGTGGAAACATCATGCTTTGGGGCTGTTTTTCTGCAAAGGGACCAGGACGACCGATCCGTGTAAAGGAAAGAATGAATGGGGCCATGTATCGTGAGATTTTGAGTGAAAACCTCCTTCCATCAGCAAGGGCTTTGAAGATGAAACGTGGCTGGGTCTTTCAGCATGACAATGATCCCAAACACACCGCCCGGGCAAGGAAGGAGTGGCTTTGTAAGAAGCATTTCAAGGTCCTGGAGTGGCCTAGCCAGTCTCCAGACCTCAACCCCATAGAACATCTTTGGAGGGAGTTGAAAGTCCGTGTTGCCCAGCGACAGACCCAAAACATCACTGCTCTAGAGGAGATCTGCATGGAGGAATGGGCCAAAATACCAGCAACAGTGTGTGAAAACCTTGTGAAGACTTACAGAAAACGTTTGACCTGTGTCATTGCCAACAAAGGGTATATAACAAAGTATTGAGAAACTTTTGTTATTGACCAAATACTTATTTTCCACCATAATTTGCAAATAAATTTATTAAAAATCCTACAATGTGATTTTCTGGAGAAAAAAAATCTCATTTTGTCTGTCATAGTTGACGTGTACCTATGATGAAAATTACAGGCCTCTCTCATCTTTTTAAGTGGGAGAACTTGCACCATTGGTGGCTGACTAAATACTTTTTTTCCCCACTGTATGTGTGAACGTTTCTGTGTCTATGAGCATTTCGGTGTGTGGATGCGTGTATCCTAGACCTAGACTTCGTGTTGTTCATTGTCACCAAAGATCTGAGGAGCGGGAGAGATTAGGTTTCCGTGGGGTCCGGGGGTTACGACACCATCTATAACAGCCTTATGACCTCCCTACGTCAGTTCAACGTCAAGGAGCAGGGCTGTGAAGTGCCGGCGTGACGTCCTAATGACCTGGAGCTCAGAGGGAAACAACTCCGCTATACATGGAGCCTCTTTTAAAACTCTCACTGAAGTGACCTCAGTGGAATGTCCCTTTGTGATTGGCTCAATGGGCAAACTTGACTTGGTGACCCTGAGACACCAATCTCACTACAAGGGAACAAGCAATTGCAAAATACACATCAGACAGTCATCAGACTCTTTCTATACGCTCTGTATCTCTCTCTCTCCGCTCTTCCGCTCTCTTTATCTCTTAGGTGGACGTCACCGAAAAGCGACACCGAATGTGACATTAGCACATGATGTGCTGGGACAGAGAGATGTTTCTCTCAGTTTATCGCCGAAGTAAATGACACCAACTGCTCTTAGTATGAAATAGATGCGTCCCAATTCCATTGGCAACGGTGTCTTTTTTCCCATTTCCTTCCCTTGGTTAGTGTTGATTATCTTCACTTGAATATTTTCAGAACTCGGGTATTGTCTTTGATACCTTCTGTCATATGCTGTTCTCCATTTAAAAGGGATTATGATATTTACATACCGGTAAACATTTTCAGATGTTTCAGATTCAGCAACACTGACACACAAACAATATTACAACAAGGATAAAAACCTGCTTTTGACTACAAACACATACTATTTAATGTTAGGACTGAAACGTAAATTGTCACTACAACAATGAGTCCTGTGAAAACACTTTCAGACCTTCAATTGAGCTCCACTTCTACACCTCACTTTAACTCCAATTTAATGGGCATTTAAGCGGATTAAAAAAAAAAAAAGGAGAATTCACAATACGATTATATTCAAACCTCAATAACCCCTGTATCGAGAGATTATTAGGAAAGGCGCAACCTCAAACCGACGATTCCACAACGGACCAAATCGGAAATGGAAAACCATTACTCTATTTGCCAGCAAAACATTGCTCTCATATCCTCCACTCCAAAACATCTCGAGCAATTAACACGCACCGCTAGTCTGTCTGCGTGTGGGGAATGAGAGTTGGAATGGTTATTAGGCGGGAGGTGGAGAGATAGAAGTGTTTTTTAATGGGCTCGGAAAATCAATCATGTCTTTGACACACACTGCAATCACAGATGATATCCTAGTTAGTGACTGGATACAGTGAGAGTGTCACAGATATGAGGTTGGCTCACAACAATACCGAATATTACTCATTGGATATACTCATTAGGGTGAATGCACCAATTTGTGAGTCGCTCTGGATAAGAGCGTCTGCTAAATGACGTAAATGTGCCCTTGAGCAAGGCACTTAACCCTAATTGCTCCTGTAAGTCGCTCTGGATAAGAGCGTCTGCTAAATGACTAAAATGTAAATGTAAATGTAGTAGCCGATACAAAGGCGATTTAAAAAACATCTGTTTTTCAACTCATACACAAAGTTAAAACATAGGCTGCATATACAGCATGCTATGTACATTTACGTCATTTAGCAGACGCTCTTATCCAGAGCGACTTACAAATTGGTGCATTCACCTTATGATAGCCAGTGGGACAACCACTTTACCCCCCAAAAATTATTTAGTATTTTATTTAATGTTTTTTTGTTATATATTTTTTATAGTTTAAATTTTTTTTTGGGAGTATGTTTTTAATTTTCATTTGTTTTATATATATATATTGTTGTTGTTTTTTATTTTTTTTGTTTATTTATTTTTATATGTGGTTTTTTTATAATAATAATAATTATTATTATTATTATTTAAAAAAAATGTAAACATGTAATGGTCTGTGTGTGTTTAGTCGTTTCAACCAATAACACCCCTTGGCATGGTAGTTAATTTCACGGCTCCAAAGAGGCTAAATTGAACAGCAATAAAGGGGTATGGTTTGGGTTAGATGCCTTCAAGCTTTCTCCAATTCTTCATACAATCCCATAATTTCCACCAGATAATGGATATTCCAGTGGTTTAATTGAACTTCTCTCCTCATAAAAGCAGACTTTATATCAGTGAGTTAAATTTCAATAGAAAATGAAAATGGTTTGGAGATTTCTAATCAGAGGAAACTGATGGGGCTGGATGATAAATCAGACGGTATGAGCCGAACACAGATTGAATCAGAGTTTTCCATTGGGGGTTTAATAGTTGATTAAGAACACAAATCTCTGTTGAATATCATCTGTGTCTTTTGTGATGAGGCAACAAAGCAGACAAAAAAATAGAAAAATCTAATAATAATTTTAAAAAAATTCCAGAATGTCCCACATGTCCCACATACAGTGTACAAAACATTAGGAACATCTTCTCTTTCCTTGACAGACTGACCAGGTGAATCCAGGTGAAAGCTATGATCCCTTATAGATGTCACTTGTTAAATCCGCTTCAATCAGTGTAGATGAAGGGGAGGAGACCGGTTAAATAAGGATTTTTTAAGCCTTGAGACAATTGAGACATGGATTGTGTGTGTGCCATTCAGATGGTGAATGGGCAAGACAAAAGATTGAAGTGCCTTTGAACAGGGTATGGTAGTAGGTGGCAGGGCACCGGTTTGTGTCAAGATCTGCAACACTGCTGGGTTTTTCACGCTCAACCGTTTCCCGTGTGTATCAAGAATGGTCCACCACCCAAAAGACATCCAGACAACTTGACACAACTGTGGTAAGCATTGGAGTCAACATGGACCAGCATCCCTGTGGAAAGCTTTCGACACCTTGTAGAGTCCATGCCCAGATGAATTGAGGCTGTTCTGAGGGCAAAAGGGGAGGCAACTCAATATTAGGATGGTGTTCCTAATGTTCTGTACACTCAGTGTACAGTATGCTATGCAAACATGTAATGGTGTGTGTGTTTAGTCGTTTCAACCAATGACACCCCTTGGCATGGTAGTTAATTTCATGATTCCAAAGAGGCTAAATTGAACAGCAATAAAGGGGTATGGTTTGGGTTAGATGCCTTCAAGCTTTCTCCAATTCTTCATACAATCCCATAATTTACACCAGATAATGGACATTCCAGTGGGTTAATTGAATTTCTCTCCTCATAAAAGTAGACTTTATATCAGTGAGTTAGATTTCAATAGAAAAGGAAAATGGTTTGGAGATTTCTAATCAGAGGAAACTGATGGGGCTGGATGATAAATCAGACGGTATGAGCCGAACACAGATTGAATCAGAGTTTTCCATTGGGGGTTTAATAGTTGATTAAGACCACAAATCTCTGTTGAATATCATCTGTGTCTTTTGTGACGAGGCAACACAGATGGCTCATGTAGAGGATTTTCTTTGTATATATCTATTTTTTTTTACATCTCAAATGGATGTCAGAATGTCCCCATATTCAAATAAACTGTATAAATCCCAAAATAATAGGAAATGTTTAAAGTTTAAACAAGAAATATTCTGGCAAAAACGTAACAGTATCAAGTCCCCCTCCCTTCTCTCTCCCACTGACCTGCTGTTCGTATCTCTGTTTGAGCTCTTCCAGTTGGTTGGAGAACTCCTTGGCCTGTTTCTCTCTTAGGGACTTGGAGCGGGTCAGATCCTCCTCCACCTTATCCATCTACACAAGGAGGGAGAGAGAAAGATCACTCTGTGATTCTCAATGACAATAGCAACATATTTTCCATGCACAGAGAGCGCGAGATAAATCTATGGAGAAAGTAATGAAAGAGGTTACTGAGTGAAATCCTGGCACAGACAAGATGGGATCTTTCCCAATGACTTATCTAGAGACAGGTGAGAGAACGGCACTATGGCAATATGTAGTGATTTATCCTCTTATTATGTGAAAACATCCTTTGAACTGCAGCGACAGTTTCTGTTCCACATGGTGCTGTGTGTCTTTATATTCTACACTCAAAATAGGGCAGACACTTTTCTTTAAACGGCGTCCAGCAGAGTGCAAGCTTTTAAGGCGAGCAGTAATCCATTTAGACACAACCCTATCAACACAGTTTAACACCAACATAACACCCACAGAGAGAGAGAGAGAGAGACAAAGAGAGAGACAGAGAGAGAGACAGAGACAGAGAAAGACAGAGGAGAGACAGAGACAGAGGAGAGACAGAGACAGAGGAGAGACAGAGACAGAGAAGAGACAGAGACAGAGACAGAGACAGAGAGAGACAGAGGAGAGACAGAGACAGAGACAGAGGAGAGACAGAGACAGAGAGAGACAGAGAGAGACAGAGGAGAGACAGAGACAGAGGCAGAGGAGAGACAGAGGAGAGACAGAGACAGAGAGAGACAGAGGAGAGACAGAGACAGAGGAGAGACAGAGACAGAGAGAGACATAGGAGAGACAGAGAGAGACAGAGACAGAGAGAGAGACAGAGGAGAGACAGAGACAGAGGAGAGACAGAGACAGAGAGAGACAGAGACAGAGGAGAGGAGAGACAGAGACAGAGGAGAGACAGAGACAGAGACAGAGACAGAGGAGAGACAGAGACAGAGAGACAGAGGAGAGACTGAGAGAGACAGAGGAGACAGAGACAGAGAGAGACAGAGGAGAGACAGAGAGAGACAGAGGAGAGACTGAAGATGCTTTCTTATATTATTAAAGATAGGGCGAAATGTAGATAGAAAGAGATGTAGAGAGATGGATGGAATGAGAGAAAAAGAGAGAGGGGGAGGATGCAGAGAAGATTGCTGCTCTCTCATGACTTTGATGTGAGACGAGGATAGAGAGAGATGGAAGATCGGGAGTCCAGGGGACCGCTGGGGAGAGGAGAGGAGGAGTGGAGTAAAAGGAGGGAGAAGGATAGAGGGAAGAGGAGGAGGAGTGTGACTTGTAAGAACACACTGTCCATGGTGTTGTCAGTCAGGCCTATATCTATTCTATGATATTCCCACCCACACCATGCCAATAAGTTAAAGGCCTACAGTAACATACTAATTACCGTATAACATCTCCATTGTTCACAATTTAACGAGTGCTCTATCAATAAAGCCCACACACACTCTGCCCAGAGGCCTAGGGAAACTCTAACTTTGTAATAACACATAGTTTACAGCTAAGTCTGCATCGATTAGTTATCTCTCAATAATCCACAGCCCACACTCTGCCAAGTGTTGAACAGTGAAATAGACTAATTACTCCATCACTCCGCTGTTTAGAGACACGTCCTCTGTGACGGCTTCTAACATCATTACCACCCGGCCCACCCCACACCCACACAGGGTGAGAGCAGGCACATGCACTCACGCACAAAACATATAGGATATAGGCTCTATAACACAACTGGTCAAAGTCGAGGGCTTTAGTGATGGAACTAAACGCTGTAGGATTGTTAACTCAGACCACTTTATATTGTTCATTTAAATGATAAGAAATGGCTGTAAAGATCACAGAGTGGGGATTTAAAGTTATGGGAATATAGAATCATTCTTTGCTTTTACCATATTTTGCCACCTAGCACTCTGTGAAGATAATATAGCTGATCACAAATAGAGGGCCTTAAAAGAAACATGTTTAGACCAGCTGTGAGAGAGAGAAAGGGGGAAAGATAGAGCATGAAGGAGAGAGAGAAAAAGGAGAGAAAAAGAAGGAGAGCGAAAGAGAGGAAGAGAAAAAGAGAGCGAGACAGAGGAATCTGTGTGTAGCCAGCATGGCGCCCCTGTGCATCTGTGGCCAGGCTGTGTCTTCTCAACTCAGAGAAGTGTGTGTGTGTGTGAGCGACGGGCCTGCAGTCATCTGTATTGTCTTGGTTTGATCACTGTCTGTTTGTCATCCAGCCTCCACTCTCTGTGGTGACGAGACAGGAAAGAGAGGGGACAGGGGAAGTGTGTGTGCACGCTAGTGCCAGAGACCATGGAAGAGATGTGCATGTATGTATGTGTCCGTAAACAAAACTCCTGGTCTACAAAGCTGGCGACCAACACCAGCGTGCTGGAAGAGGCCAAAATAAACAGCATCACCACTACAATAATACAACCCCAACTCTGATGGACATGTCGTGTGATCCGGATGCCCAACTAACGCTTCCCAAAACAGATGATGTACTCCCAGTTGAAGGAAAGTCAGCGAGCCCCTGGCGGACAAAGGAAACGCTACAAAGACAACATCAAAACAAACCTTCAGAAATTCTACGTCACCTCCAACAACTGGAAGGACACTGCACTAAACAGACAACTGGAAGGACACTGCACTAAACAGACAACTGGAAGGACACTGCACTAAACAGACAACTGGAAGGACACTGCACTAAACAGACAACTGGAAGGACACTGCACTAAACAGACAACTGGAAGGACACTGCACTAAACAGACAACTGGAAGGACACTGCACTAAACAGACAACTGGAAGGACACTGCACTAAACAGACAACTGGAAGGACACTGCACTAAACAGACAACTGGAAGGACACTGCACTAAACAGACAACTGGAAGGGCACTGCACTAAACAGACAACTGGAAGGACACTGCACTAAACAGACAACTGGAAGGACACTGCACTAAACAGACAACTGGAAGGACACTGCACTAAACAGACAACTGGAGAAAAAACATTCAAGAGGGAGCTGCACTACATGGAAAAGATCTCCACTGTGCCGCAGAGGACAAGGGACAGCTACACAAGGAGAGACTGAACACCAGGAAGGCCCAACCACCAACCACCACTCATCCCTGCCCACACTGCACCAAAATATGTGGCTCCCGGATCAGCCACTACAGCCATCTGAAGACCCACAAATAGAAGACCCCATGGAGGACAATCATACTGGACTCCAGTGATCACCGATGACGATGATGATGATGATGATGATAAGTGTGTGTGTGTGCTGGGGATAGTAAAGATCATATAGGCCCCTCTTTCTCCCCTCCATACAACACTACTGTCCCGGCTTTACAGAACCAGGGATTTCCATGTAGTATTATCAGTATGTTACCTGTAGTTTCATGTCAGCGTAGGTCTTCTCTGAGCTGATCTCTACTTGTTTCTTAAAGTGTTCCAGAGCATTCTCTGCCTGCTGGGTCTGCTGCCGCTGACACTCCCTCTCACGCCCCAGCTGCTCCTCCTTCTCCCTGAAACACATACACACATTACTGCATACACATACACACACATTAATACACACACACAAATGAAAAAAGACAAAGTGATACATAAACATATCATATGGAGTTGAGATTTTCTCTGTAATATGATTGATTTTGTTCACCGCAAAACCCTCTCCTGTACATCACTTTTCAGTTCAAACCTTTAATGGTTGTGTAGCAGAAGTGATGGTTGGAGTGAACAAGGGCTTTGTGTGTGTGTGTGTGTGTGTGTGTGTGTGTGTGTGTCAGCCATATAGGGAGTCCCAGCATAAAGAGCTGTCAGAGCAGAGACAGTCTTCAACTCATGATCACACCGACTGCAACACCGCAGCTGTCAGACCTGCCTTCAGAACATGTCTAGTGTGTGTGTGTGTGTTGGAATGGATGGAAGTGAGGGAAGAAGATTCCCTTGGCCAGGAGACAGACAGACACAATAAACCCATACTAAGTAACACACAGACGGAAGTATCAGACAAGAAACAACGCTGAGAAGTCAAACAGGATTGACACACATAGCCCTTAATCTGACCCTGTGGGCCCTGGTCAAAAGTAGTGCACTGTGTAGGGAATAGGGTGCCATTTGGGATGAGGCCTATGTCTAATGCTCAGAGTGAAGACGAGTCATTGGTCACTGCCAGCCAGACACCCACGTGTGTAGACATGTGTCTTGTGATGTTTTGGGAAAAGAACAGAGACAGAAAAAGAGAAACATTATTTCTTCCCTCACCACTGCCCTCCTTATTTAACGCACCACCAGACAGTCAGATAAAAACAACAACAACAACAACAACAACAGCAGGGGAAAAAGGAGGCAACAAAAAAAGATTGAAAAGAGGCTAAATGAGATGTTGTTTCCTCCTCTTTATAGCGTTCCTCTGTCTCTTTGTCATTTTGGTCTTTCTCATGTTGGACATCAAAGATGGCAGAAATTGTTTTTCCCCACGCCGTTGTGTACGCTGTAATTATTAATCAGGCAGCCAATATGACTGACTTCAGGGTGCTGTGCAAAGCAGCGCACCAAGACACAAAAGGATGTGGAGTCAAGTCGTGCAGAAAAGATGGAGGAAAAGAGAGAGAGAGAGGGAAAAAGTGAGAAGAAAGGAAGTAACAGAAAAAGCAGGATGAACTTCTTTGAAACTTTCAAAAAAGGAGGAAGACAGAAGTTGGGTGTGTTGCGAGCGTGAGAAGAGGTGCACTGATGAGTGTGTGTTGTCACTCCGAGCCTGTTTGTTTGTGTGTGTGTGTGTGTGTGTGTGTGTGTGTGTGTGTGTGTGTGTGTGTGTGAGTGAGTGAGTGTGTGCGTGTGTGTAATAAGCATGTATTTAACACTTGACAGTAGTATGTAGATGAATGCATGAGGCCATCTGAGGAAGTGAGAGTGACCATATGTGTGTGTGTGTGTGTGTGTGTGCCTAAATATGTATCTGGGAGTGTGAGACAGGGAGCAGCAGTCAGTCAATCACAGAGAAAGGGGTGAGATGAGAGGGCAGAGAGAAGACGTAGGGAGGCCTGGCGGAGAGAGGGAGAGGGAGAGGGAGGAGAAGAAAGAGGGGGATGCCAGCTCCTCGGTGGCCCACGGCTTTAAATGGCTTCTGGTCAGAGAAGTGGAAGGAGAGGAGACTCAAATTAGAGATGTGCCATCCTCTCATCCTTCCATCTTAAAGGGATAAAAAGAGGGGAAAAGAGAGGGAGAGAAAGAGAGTGAGTGTCTTAAGGAGAGGGTGACAGGGCTTCCGCCTAGCCGCATGCCAGACAGGAGGCTCCAGGGCTCCCGTCTTTTTCCAGACCACTGAAACCACACGACGCCTCGCCTCACACACACTCGTGCAAGTGCACACACACACATATACTGTATGCCTCACACACATATACTGTATGAATCACACGCATACAGTACCAGTCAAAAGTTTGGACACACCTACTCATTCAAGGGTTTTTCTTTACTTTTACTATTTTCTACATTGTAGAATAATAGTGAAGACATCAAAACTATGAAATAACACATATGGAATCATGTAGCAACCAAAAAAGTGTTAAACAATCAAAATATATTTTATATTTGAGATTCTTCAAATAGCCACCATCTGCCTTGATGACAGCTTTGCACACTCTTGGTATTCTCTCAACCAGCTTCACCTGGAATGCTTTTCCAACAGTCTTGAAGGAGTTCCCACATATGCTTAGCACTTGTTGGCTGCTTTTCCTTCACTCTGCCGTCCGACTCATCACAAACCATCTCAATTGGGTTGAGGTCAGGGGATTGTGGAGGCCAGGTCATCTGATGCAGCACTCCATCACTCTCCTTCTTGGTAAAATAGCCCTTACACAGCCTGGAGGTGTGTTGGGTCATTGTCCTGTTGAAAAACAAATGATAGTCCCACTAAGACCAAACCAGATGGGATGGCGTATCGCTGCAGAATGCTGTGGTAGCCATGCTGGTTAAGTGTGCCTTGAATTCTAAATAAATCACAGACAGTGTCACCAGCAAAGCACCCCCACACCATAACACCTCCTCCTCCATGTTTTACAGTGTGAACCACACATGCGGAGATCATCCGTTCACCCACACCGCGTCTCACAAAGAAAGGGGGTTGGAACCAAAAACCTCCAATTTGGACTCCAGACCAAAGGACAAATTTCCACCGGTCTAATGTCCATTGCTCGTGTTTCTTGGCCCAAGCAGGTCTCTTCTTCTTATTGGTGTCCTTTAGTAGTGGTTTCTTTGCAGCAATTCGACCATGAAGGCCTGATTCACACAGTCCCCTCTGAACAGTTGATGTTGAGATGTGTCTGTGACTTGAACTCTGTGAAGCATTTATATGGGCTGCAATTTCTGAGGCTGGTAACTCTAATGAACTTATCCTCTGCAGCAGAGGTAACTCTGGTTCTTCCATTCCTGTGGTAGTCCTTGTGAGAGCCAGTTTCATCATAGCGTTTTATGGTTTTTGCGACTGCACTTGAAGAAACTTTCAAAGTTCTTGAAATGTTCCGTATTGACTGACCTTCATGTCTTAAAGTAATGATGGACTGTCGTTTCTCTTTGCTTATTTGAGCTGTTCTTGCCATAATATGGACTTGGTCTTTTACCAAATAGGGCTATCTTCTGTATACCCCCCCTACCTTGTCACCACACAACTGATTGGCTCAAACGCATTATGAAGGAAAGAAATTCCACAAATTAACTTTTAAGAAGGCACACCTGTTCATTGAAATGCATTGCAGGTGACTACCTCATGAAGCTGGTTGAGAGAATGCCAAGAGTGTGTAAAGCTGTCATCAAGGCAAAGGGTGGCTATTTGAAGAATCTCAAATATAAAATATATTTTGATTTGTTTAACACTTTTTTGATTACTACATGATTCCATGTGTGTTATTTCATAGTTTTGATGTCTTCACTATTATTCTACAATGTAGAAAATAGTAAAAATAAAGAAAAACCCTTGAATGAGTAGGTGTGTCCAAACTGTTGACTGGTAGTGTATACTGTATGAATCACACACACCCATACAAGTGCTCACACACAATGCCTCCCCTCAAGCACGTGGGACACAGCCAGTCAAGATAAACCAGTTATCAACTTTACCATCCTTCTATTGAGGTTCTCTTCTCCTACTATGAAGCTGGTTGAGAAAGAGAAGTCCTGGTAGTATAGCATGGCTGTCCAGGCCAGTCCAGGACAACTCAATCAATGAGCTGTTCTGTACTTTAATGATCATGTGTGCACAGAATGTTCTCAATGTACGTGCTGTAATGCACTGCATGTGGGTGGAGTGTCTGACTGCAGGATAGACACACACACACACACACTAACATATGGAATATGTATATGGACACATCTGGTCTGGTCCAGCTTATGCCAGGCAGTGTGTGTGTGGTTCTGTGTGTGTGTGTGTGTGTGTGTGTGTGTGTGTGTGTGTGGTGTGTGTGTGTGTGTGTGTGTGTGTGCATGTTGCATGTGTGTATCTGAGCTCATGCAAGCAGAATGATAAGGAATCCAGACACATTAAAGGCCCTCCCTGAAAAAAGAAGGAGTACATAAAAAGAGAGAAAATGCTAAACTGAAATATTCAACACCCTCAGAAGAAAAAATAAAACAGCGTCTTTTTCATTCCTTTCCCCGAGAGAGAGAGATGGCAGTCAGAGAAGACCATCGAGCTTGGAGGCTACATGCAAACTGACATGCAAATATGCCGTTTTCAAAAACAAGGGGCCCAGCTATGAAACCAGAGAGAGAGAGAGAGAGAGAGAGAGAGAGAGACTTCAGAGGAACTCATCTTGTGGTCCAAAAATCTGTCTGAGGTCTAAGAGAGAAAGGGAGGAGAAATGAGAAGAACTACAAAAGACGAGTAACTGACTGTCTGAGAGGCCTGGATGCAGAGAGCAGAGCAGGGGGGTAATGGTGATGGTGTGGGTGGATTAAGATATAGGCCTGTTGTTGAGCAGATCAGGCTAAAGGCCTGTGTGATATAGAGTTCACCACCCCACTTCAGCCTCAATGGCAACTAGGGAGCAAAATAACTTGCCATACATCCCGTCTTTGCTTCATTGCAGCGCCTATAGAAAGGAGAAGGAGGCTTTTGAGATGCCTGTAACAGTCACTGGAGACTGCATGTAAATAGTTGCAGATGCAGCTCTATGGAGGAGCAGAGGGAGGAACAGCTTAGGGAAGAACAGCAGAGGGAAGAACAGCAGAGGGAGGAACAGCAGAGGGAGGAACAGCAGAGGGAGGAACAGCAGAGGGAGGAACAATGGAGGGAGGAAGTGCATAAAGGGGGGATTCAGAGAGGTAAGCAGAGGTATTCCATCTCTGGAGGGGATTCTCCCATCTCTGCTATGCATTTACACCACTTTGGATTCATACATCATTCATGAAGTTGCCACAGTATGCAAAATCATCTATGCACTAACCCCACATGTACAGATATTTACATAATGAGCATTACTTGGCTAAACTATTGTTATGAATGGCTAAAAGCCCTGAAGGAAACAGAACTGTGTTTTTTACTGTTTAACCTTTATTTATACAGGGTAGTCTCATTGAAATAAACTCTCTTTTGCAAGAGAAACCAAAAGTACATCTCTGGGGCCGAGCGCCCTACCATCCAGGACCTCTATACCAGGCGGTATCCGAGGACTCCAGCCACCCCAGTCATAGACTGTTCTCTCTGCTACCGCACGGCAAGCGGTACCGGAGCGCCAAGTCTAGAACCAATAGGACCCTGAACAGCTTCTACCCCCAAGACATAAGACTGCTAAATAGTTAGTTAAATAGTTCACCAATAACTACCTGGACTGACTGCACTGACCCTTTCTGACTCATCACATACGCTGTTGTTACTGTTTATTATCTATCCTGTTGACTAGTCACTTTATCCCTACCTATATGTACATACACTGTATATACAAAAGTATGTGGACACCCCTTCAAATTAGTGGATTCGGCTATTTCAGCCACACCCGTTGCTGACAAGTGTATAAAACCAAGCACACAGCCATGCAATCTCTATAGACAAACATTGGCAGTAGAATGGCCTTACTGAAGAGCTCAGTGACTTTCAACATGGCACCGTCATAGGATGCCACCTTTCCAACAAGTCAGTTCGTCAAATTTCTGCCCTGCTAGAGCTGCCCCGGTCAACTGTAAATGCTGTTATTGTGAAGTGGAAACGTCTAGGAGCAACAACGTCTCAGTCGCAAAGTGGTAGGCCACACAAGCTCACAGAATGGGACCGGCGAGTGCTGTCCTCGGTTGCAACACTCACTACCGAGTTACAAACTGCCTCTGGAAGCCTAGGCCTGTATATATGGCCGCCAGGGGACTTCCACTATTGAGTCACGTAGCGCTTTCCATTACCCCAAGATCCATTCCACAGATCCACACTTACCATCCCCACCTTCCCTGGACCCCACCATCCAGCAGCCCTTTCTGCTACCGGCCCAGCACCATCACCCCCAGCTACGGACCACCATAAGAAAGAAGCCAGATTCCTAAGAGAGAAGGAAATGCTAGGGTGGAGGCACTGAGGCAGGCAGGGTGTGCTGTTTCTCTCCTTTCATTAGCATTTAGTTGATGATATAGTTGATGTTCCACTACCATTTGGAGCTCATTGTTGTGGAGGCAGGCAGCCTGCTCTCCAGATGAGCTATGTAACTCTCCTTCTCTGCCTTTTCTCTGTCCGCAGCACATCCCTCCATCTCTATGCTAATGCTCATGATCTGAGCGGCGCCGGGATGAAAGAAGAGAGAAAACATGCTTTCTTCACTGCTTTGTAGTTCTTTATGTTGTTGCTATAGCGACGCGTAGAAATCTAACCGACGCAGCCGCGCTCATTTGCATGGCGGGATAGAGATTCTTTCTTGTCTTCTTTATTTTCGGAGGGGAAGGGGTTCAGATGGGTGTAGATCACACCTTCCTTTTACAAACAACACTCATGATCCTAAACAAACAAAATACCAGCTGCCTCTGTCCCGCGTTTATGCAGAAACACTAACTGAAGCACAAACACAGAGACACATGTCGGAATACTTTAGTTGGATCCACAATGAAACATTGTGTCATACAAAAGGACCCAAACACACACGAGCAGGCACATACGTATGTGTGCACAATGCGTACCTACACACACAATCTACAAAGATGCCAGCCTGTCTAACGTATAAACCCAAGCGCCTGTTGGGCATGTCGAGTGGTTTAAACTCGTTTAATTTCATCTCTCATCCTCCCATCTCCTTTATCAGCCAGTGCACACTCACAAACGCACACACACACGCGCACATACACACACACCTGCCTGCGGTCCTGCTGTGGCTTTGAAGTTCTCCTGGATCGTCTTTAAAGGCCTTCAGTGTTGCCACGGCAGCAAGTTGGTAGCAGACATCACATCAGACTCTCTTTGTGTGTGTGTATGTCAAATCAAATGTTCTAATCAAATCACATTTTATTTCTCACATGCTTCGTAAACAACATGTGTAGACTAACAGTGAAATGCTTACTTATGGGCCCTTCCCAACAATGCAGAGAGAAAGAAAATAGAGAAATAATAGAAAATAAAAGTAATAATAAATACACAATGAGTAACGATCACTTGGCTATATACATGGGGTACCAGTACCGAGTCGACGTGCAGGGGTACGAGGTAATTGAGGTAGGATATGTAAATTTTTACATTTTAGTCATTTAGCAGACGCTCTTATCCAGAGCGACTTACAGTTAGTGAGTGCATACATTTTCATACTGGCCCCCCGTGGGAATCAAACCCACAACCCTGGCATTGCAAACGCCATGCTCTACCAACTGAGCTACACGGGGCCCTACATATAACTAGGAATAAAGTGACTAGGCAACAGGAGAGATAATAAACAGTAGCAGCAGCGTATGTGATGAGTCAAAATAATTAGTGTAAAAAGGGTCAATGCAGATAATTAAATAGTTAACCAAATAGCTACCCGGCCTAACTATTTAGTCACATTAACTGCTCTCAATGGTGCAGCTGTATAACTTTTTGAGGATCTGAGGGTCCATGCCAAATCTTTCAAGTGTGTGTATGCATGTGTGTGTGTGCAGGGCTTTCCTTCTCACCCTACCAGACAGTTCTCAATTAATTAGCTCGGAGCTCCGACGCGACACTCGCCATTTCTAACTGTTTAACACTAACGAGAGACCGGCCCGCTTGTTACCGAGCAGAGTGATAATTTATGCATCCAGATTTACATCTGCTGCCTCATCAAAGGCGTCCTCTCTCGCGCTGCTCACGTGTCTGGGACACTAGTGACAGATGATAGGAGAATGTATTTGTTCATTCTGTCAGGCGAATCTGCATTAAATGCGCCTTTATCACCGTCTAGTCTTCACAGGGAATATTTGTCCTTGGAACTGAGCGATATGAATAATGTCGATTCAGATCTCAGTGGAATGTAAAGAAGGACTGAGATATCAATGGGTTTTTACCTGACAATAGCCTCAATGGATGCATTTCCTGCCTAATAACCACATCAAACTCACATGTCAGGTGTAGAACTCACATAAAAAATCATATAAAAACACATTTTCAAGATGACTCAAAAAGTCGGCGAATAGGCTTGAGTGGAACACCAGGTGCCTTTGGCCATTGATAAGGACACTGGAAAACATCTACTGCACCGTTTTGACAAACTGTCAAGTCAAGGGGTCTTTGACAAACACCGAAGGGGTCGAGAGTAGGGCTGTTACGGTGACTGTATTACCGCCACACCGGCGGTCACGAGTCATGATGGCAGTGAAATTCCACGTGACCGTTTAGTCACGGTAATTAGGCTTCTCCAAGCTCTGATGCTGCTGATGGTCATTACTATCCTACCAAACTTGCTAACTACCGGGTACTCAGCACTCTATTGTCCCTCTAATCACTCTGACATCAATGCAAATCTAATCAAAAATCTAATCAAACATTTAATGAGAGCCTTATGAGCTCATGTTTCGTAAACATTTCTATAGGCTATGCAATTGCGTGAGAAAACAGAGTGATGGCTTCTATTAAAAAGAGGAGGTTCTCATCAGCTTTCTAGAGGCTTACTCTATTTATTTCTCAACTTTCCTAATATTAAGCACATTGCTTCTTTTTACAACAGGAGTAAAGCCTACCTAGCTGGCAGGAAAATGAACCATGGGAAAAGCGTCCTCCATTCGCTATTTAAATGCATAGATGACATGTATTTTTTTCCGCTGCCCCTGTTTCGAGACAGATGCATGATAATTGTCCATTCGAAATCAAAACAAATGTCACACATATATTATTTAGTATTTGAATGATATATTATCACTTGTGAATGATGCCCAGCTTAAGGCAAGAATCAGCGCATGCTTTTTTTGCGACTTTTTCATTTTTGCACAACTCATGTAGCCTAGCCCATAGGCCTATACGTTTTGATAAGGTTTGTATTACAACTAAAGTGGCCAAATAAAGTGGCCAAATGACTTCTTAAAATTAAGCACATTCATCCGCTTTACAACGGGGTAGAGCCTAACTGGCATACATACGCAGCGCGTGAGTTTCAAGTTTGGGGAAGATAATTTTCACCATAGAAATGCACCTTTAGAATAAAAGCAATACATGCATTATCGCATTTGTGGTCACTTTTGAGAGTGGTGTTTTTCTGCTACTGGAACATTCGCACTTATAGCCTACTGCCGTGTGCGCATTATAATGTGAAGAAATAGCCTAATAGTTTATCAAAATGTTTAGCTAAACGTTCTCATCTGTTGCGTCAGGTTCATTCCTTAAAACAGGTTTTTTGATGCTAGTGGTTGTATTAACTTGGGATCTATCGCATCCCACAACTGTCACAGACTATGATTGGAATATTTATTTCTGGCACAGAATAGAATAGGTCAACTTTTGTAATATGGGGGATAGTATATTGACATAGGCTAGTGCTTTTGCTGTTTGTTAGGCCTACTCATCTTGTTGGCTGACGAAAAGTAAATGTGGACAGTTCTTCCAATATCTTCAATATGCGCCTCGGAATTGGATAAGGACGCGCGCAGTTGCGGCCCGATGTGTCTGTCTTCACTTGTAGCCTGTGAGAAAGACCCGATCACGTGACGGGCATTGGCTAATAAGCATTGCGCTATCTGAGAGAGCCATGTGAGTGAGAGGTGCTTCGGAGCACGCAGCCGGGAGAAGGGAATTATAATTATTATATTCAGCCCAAGGGCACAATGGCCACTGGCCGCAAAATACATGGATTTTTTTAGGGGGGACACAAAGGGGATGCCGTTGAGAAATTCGAGGCATTATCAAGTGCTTGTCAAATTGTGAATGAGACTGATGAAGTGTGTACAGCCTGCGTAAAAAACTAAGCAGAGCTCATGCCTTTCATGCAACTTTTTTCAAATCATCATTAGTCGCATCATGCAGCCTTAGAATGTATTAAAAATCAAAACATATAGCCCAACATTTGTATCACAACTAAAGTTACATAAATAACTCTAAATTAAGCATATAGGAGTACCTGTTTCTTTGTTAACCGCTCAACACAGAATAGCCGCATGTGCGCACTCCCTCAAATCGTTTGGATAAAATATCCTTTCTATTTTATTCAGCTATGTTCAATTGTATTCTTTATACTATAAAATAATATAAAATAATGGCAAGGAACTCTAAGCAAATCTTGTCTGCTAAATTAACTAGTGTAGCCCACAGCCGTAAGGCATAGCCAGATTAGGGCCTAACATAAGGACAACTCAGAGTACGCTATTCTGTTCTTCTGAAATAAGACTACATTTTCTTCATATTTCTTCTAACTCCAAAAAGTTTTGGGACACTGTATAGTCCATGGAGAATAAGAGCACCTCCTCCCAGCTGCCCACTGCACTGAGGCTAGGAAACACTGTCACCACCGATCAATTTACGATAATCGAGAATTTCAACAAGCATTTTGCTACGGCTGGCCATGCTTTCCACCTGGCTACCCATACCCCGGCCACCAGCTCTGCACCCTCCGCTGCAACTTGCCCATGCACCCCCCCGCTTCTCCTTCACCCAAATTCAGACAGCTGATGTTCTGAAAGAGCTGCAAAATCTGGACCCCTACAAATCAGCTGGGCTAGACAATCTGGACCCTTTCTTTCTAAAATTAGCCGCCGGAATTGTCGCAACCCCTATTACTAGCCTGTTCAACCTCTCTTTCGTATCGTCTGAGATCCCCAGAGATTGGAAAGCTGCCGCGGTCATCCCCCTCTTCAAAGGGGGTGACACTCTAGATCCAAACTGTTACAGACCTATATCCATCCTGCCCTGCCTTTCGAAAGTATTTGAAAGCCAAGTTAACAAACAGATCACCTACCATTTCGAATCCCACCGTACCTTCTCCGCTATGCAATCTGGTTTCCGAGCTGGTCATGGGTGCACCTCAGCCACGCTCAAGGTCCTAAACGATATTATAACCGCGATCGATAAAAGACAGTACTGTGCAGCCGTCTTCATCGACCTGGCCAAGGCTTTCGACTCTGTCAATCACCGCATTCTTATTGGCAGACTAAATAGCCTTGGTTTCTCAAATGACTGCCTCGCCTGGTTCACCAACTACTTCTCAGATAGAGTTCAATGTGTCAAATCGGAGGGCCTGTTGTCTGGACCTCTGGCAGTCTCTATGGGGGTGCCACAGGGTTCAATTTTCGGGCCGACTCTATTCTCTGTGTATATTTACATTTACATTTTAGTCATTTAGCAGACGCTCTTATCCAGAGCGACTTACAGTTAGTGAGTGCATACATGTTTTTTTTTGTTTGTTTTTTAATTAATCAGAAATCAGTCCCGGTAACTTGTAAATGTCTAGTATTCTTGTAAATGTCCGAGTTCTCATGACAAATCCTAAAGTAGCCATGGACAAGAGTCCACTTTATCCATGTACAAAGTCAGGATGTTATCAAAATGCCATGCGTATTGATTTATCCATGATTGATAGAGCAGTCCGGCGTCAGTATTGCAGGAAGGAGATATCTTCTTTGAGAGGGATGGATGATGGTCACTGCTGTGTCCTAACAGGGCTGAGGAACTGGGTTCACTGCCACTCCGGAAAGGTCCACTGTCTCGGCACAGCCGAGGAAGCGTGCTACGTGTGCTGAACAGGAGGTAGGTGAGTTCTGGTTCTCGTGCTGAACAGGAGGTAGGTGAGTTCTGGTTCTCTAGTAAGCAGCGTCCAAACTCTGTGAACTTTGGAACAGTCTGTCCGGATCTTCTGGATCACAGGGTGTGAAGAGGTACACTGTGCCACCTTCATCTTCAGGTCTTGACAGTGCCGTTGTCATGTAGATGGGTGGGAGGCCACACACTGCCCATAGCTCTCCATCTCCTTATGGCAATACTTGGTGGTGATATCCATGGCAACCTGCATATACGTGTATATCAATGATGTTGCTCTTGCTGCTGGTGACTCTCAGATCCACCTCTACGCAGACGACACCATTTTGTATACATCTGGCCCTTCATTGGACACTGTGTTAACAAACCTCCAAACGAGCTTCAATGCCATACAGCACTCCTTCCGTAGCCTCCAACTGCTCTTAAACGCTAGTAAAACTAAATGCATGCTCTTCAATCGAACGCTGCTTGCACCCGCCCACCCGACTAGAATCACTACTCTCGGCGGGTCTGACTTAGAATATGTGGACAACTACAAATACCTAGGTGTCTGGTTAGACCGTAAACTCTCCTTCCAGACTCACATTAAGCATCTCCAATCCAAAGTTAAATCTAGAATCGGCTTCCTATTTCGCAACAAAGCCTCCTTCACTCATGCTGCCAAACATGCCCTCGTAAAACTGACTATCCTACCGATCCTTGACTTCGGCGATGTCATTTACAAAATAGCCTCCAACACTCTACTCAGCAAATTGGATGTAGTCTATCACAGTGCCATCCGTTTTGTCACCAAAGCCCCATATACTACCCACCATTGTGACCTGTACGCTCTCGTTGGCTGGCCCTCACTACATATTTGTCGCCAAACCCACTGGCTCCAGGTGATCTATAAATCACTGCTAGGCAAATCCCCGCCTTATCTTAGCTCATTGGTCACCATAGCAACACCCACCTACCGTAGTATGCGCTTCAGCAGGTATATCTCACTGGTCATTCCCAAAGCCAACACCTCCTTTGGCCGCCATTCCTTCCAGTTCTCTGCTGCCAATGACTGGAACGAACTGCAAAAATCTCTGAAGCTGGAGACTCTTATCTCTCTCACTAACTTTAAGCATCAGTTGTCAGAGCAGCTTACTGATCACTGCACCTGTACACAGCCCATCTGTAATTAGCCCACCCAACTACCTCATCCCCATATTGTTATTTATTTTGCTCATTTGAACCCCAGTATCTCTATTTGCACATAATCTTCTGCACATCTATCACTCCAGTGTTAATACTAAATTGTAATTATTTTGCACTATTGCCTATTTATTGCCTTACCTCCATAACGTACTACATTTGCACACACTGTATATAGATTTTCTATTGTGTTTTTGACTGTACGTTTTGTTTATCCCATATGTAACTCTGTGTTGTTGTTGTTTTTATCGCACTGCTTTGCTTTATCTTGGCCAGGTCGGAGTTGTAAATGAGAATTTGTTCTCAACTGGCTTACCTGGTTAAATAAAGGTTAAATAAAATAAATTAGACCTGTCTAAAATAAATAATGGATTTATTGTGATGGTGTAGGCTATATTACATGGAATTATTAGACTTTTTTTAATGTAGATGTTCCAAAGGTCTGCATCAGTGGCTTGTAGGCTATGCGTTGAAGCCAGGAGATGCTAAATGTGTTTATGTTAATTAACGGTCAATTACCGTGAGACCGGCAGTTATTTGCTTGACAATCACCGGCTGACAAAATGCCATAACTGCCACAGCCCTAGTCGAGAGTACAGTATGGTAAACAGGCTTGACTGGGTCTGGGGCAGGGCTGCGTTCCGGGCCGTTAGGAGACTGGGTCTGAGACTGGGTCTGGGGCAGGGCTGCGTTCCGGGCCGTTAGGAGACTGGGGCTGAGACTTGGTCTGGGGCAGGGCTGCGTTCCGGGCCGTTAGGAGACTGGGGCTGAGACTTGGTCTGGGGCAGGGCTGCGTTCCGGGCCGTTAGGAGACTGGGGCTGAGACTGGGTCTGGGGCAGGGCTGCGTTCCGGGCCGTTAGGAGACTGGGGCTGGGGCAGGGCTGCGTTCCGGGGCCGTTAGGAGACTGGGGCTGGGGCAGGGCTGCGTTCCGGGGCCGTTAGGAGACTGGGGCTGGGGCAGGGCTGCGTTCCGGGCCGTTAGGAGACTGGGGCTGGGGCAGGGCTGCGTTCCGGGGCCGTTAGGAGACTGGGGCTGAGACTGGGTCTGGGGCAGGGCTGCGTTCCGGGCCGTTAGGAGACTGGGGCTGAGACTGGGTCTGGGGCAGGGCTGCGTTCCGGGCCGTTAGGAGACTGGGGCTGAGACTGGGTCTGGGGCAGGGCTGCGTTCTGGGGCCGTTAGGAGACTGGGGCTGAGACTTGGTCTGGGGCAGGGCTGCGTTCCGGGCCGTTAGGAGACTGGGGCTGAGACTTGGTCTGGGGCAGGGCTGCGTTCCGGGCCGTTAGGAGACTGGGGCTGAGACTTGGTCTGGGGCAGGGCTGCGTTCCGGGCCGTTAGGAGACTGGGGCTGAGACTTGGTCTGGGGCAGGGCTGCGTTCTGGGGCCGTTTGGAGACTGGGTCTGGGGCAGGAGCCGAGGCTGGGGATAGAACTGGGGCTAAGTTCTGGGCCGTTAGGATTGGGTGAGCTTAGACGTTTAATTGTGCAGAACACATTCTACTTTCATTAGAGGCAGTGTAATCTGTGTATGAGCCGGTAATGTGGTAATGTATGGTATTAATTAGTGTGAGGAATGCATGCAGCATTAGGAGGCCCTGGATCAGACCCTGCCTAGCCTGTCAGCAGTGCTCTGACTGTACTCTACTGTAATGGAACGATAGCAGACTGAGAAAAGGAGAGGAGGGAACGCCTGATAGGAGTAGCTCAGTCAGCTCAACATCTGGTGGGAGGGATGGAGCGAGGGAGAAATTAACTGAGGAATGGAGGGAGGAAGGGAGGGATGGAGGGAGAGGTGCAGGGTTGATGAGATGGGAGAGGTGCGGGGGGATGACATGGGAGAGGTGCAGGGTTGATGAGATGGGAGAGGTGCAGGGTTGATGAGATGGGAGAGGTGCAGGGGGGATGAGATGGGAGAGGTGCAGGGTTGATGAGATGGGAGAGGTGCAGGGTTGATGAGATGGGAGAGGTGCAGGGGGGATGAGATGGGAGAGGTGCAGGGTTGATGAGATGGGAGAGGTGCAGGGTTGATGAGATGGGAGAGGTGCAGGGGGGATGAGATGGGAGAGGTGCAGGGGGGATGAGATGGGAGAGGTGCAGGGTTGATGAGATGGGAGAGGTGCAGGGGGGATGAGATGGGAGAGGTGCAGGGGGGATGAGATGGGAGAGGTGCAGGGGGGATGATATGGGAGAGGTGCAGGGGGGATGAGATGGGAAAGGTGCAGGGGGGATGAGATGGGAGAGGTGCAGGGGGGATGAGATGGGAAAGGTGCAGGGGGGATGAGATGGAAGAGGTGCAGAGGGGATGATATGTGATTGTAGCTGGAATAGTGTAGCAGAGGGCAATAAAGGAAGTCCATATTTGGTTAGATGTTATAATATTTTTGACCATTCAAAGATTTGACATCAATGATCAATGGTCTCAAGTAAAAGGATTCAGGAAACGAGGCCATGTTAGAGTATTGAGACGTAGCCAAAGCTCTGGCTCCTCCCACCACCCCTTTTCACAGATAAGGTCACCTGCTCGTTTTACATTTACATTTCATTTACATTACATTTCGTTTTCAGACTAAATATGGGCATACGAGGTGATGACTACAAATGATGCATTATGAAGTGAGGATAGAAAAGTAGCGGTGTGGAATCTCACAGGCTACAGCCAACTGAGACAAGTAAACAAACAACCAATGACATCATAGGTGGGACGGATCACAGGGTGGGTGACATCATGTCAGACTGTACCATGTCAAACAAGGCTGCTACAGTCTAACAAATTCTAGACAGAGAGAGAGAGGGAGGGAGAGGGAGCAAGACAGTGAGAGAAAGAAAGCCTAATTGACATGAAATAGAGTGGCCAGGTATGCCAAGGCGCTCTCTCTCTCTCTGGCAGGCCTCTTTCTAGTCCTAACCACTTCCATGTCTCCCAGTGAATTCCTGTAGGGCCTCAGTGCTCCCCAGGCTCAGCCATTAACCCCTGCTGACTACACATCTGGAGGACACACTGGCAGTTTCCAAATACCCATACTTGCATCCTAAATAGTAGGCCGTTTGAATATGCGAAAACATTTCGTTTAATAGTATGCGATATTGTGGAAATCAAGTATACTTTAAATGCCCGGATGTCATACTCATTTCGGCTTTGACAACAGCTGATCAATTAGATATGGGGATGCGCTACCTAAATCAACGATTATGTTGCTGTCCAGTGGTTCACTAATAAATATGCTGAAATGGAACTAATTTATCAGTTTCTGTCTTCAGTCCTTTTTAAATAGGATAGATGGGCTATATGGTCTACTACATTATACATAGTGTACAAAACATTAACAACACCTGTGGAATTCTTTCAACACCCTGTAGTGTCTGTGCCCCAACGAATTCAGGCTGTTCTGAGGGCAAAAGAGGGGGGTGCAACTCAATATTAGGAAGGTGTTCTTAATGTTTTGTACACTCAGTGTTGGTCGAATGTGATAGTCTGCCTATAACCAGCCTGAGTAGGCCTATAACTCCATTCCTACTCTATTCAGCATTTAGATAAATTAATCGAATTGGAAATGATCTATTATCAGTCTGGTTAATGCGATGTCTGTTGAATTTGGAAAGATCCACCCGGACTCGGCCTCGCCCCACCTATTCAGCCAGTCAGGAGCCGCTACTGCGTTGCGGCAGTGGCATACTGCATACTTTTTACTAAACGGTACATGCTAAATAGTATGCAACGATGAGTATATAGTATGCAGTTTAATATGCTAGTATGGGTATTCGGACACGGCCATTGTAGATCTGAGACGGTTGGATAGGTGTACGACAATATGGAATTGGGCACTACCCCACAACTGGGGACACTGCACAGCACAGATATAAGAACTCTCTATGGATGTTCCTATGTTTCAGCATGTGACAGACAGGCACATATGGAGAGACTAAAAGCGACAACATTTCATATAGCTTCAAATATCCACTGCAGTTTTCAATTACTGCACGAGGGTGAGCTCTGCAAATTATAGCTGTGTCCCGGGCCCTGTAACTAGCACTTACCAACGTCTGAGTGCTTAAGCATTTTTCTAAATCAGTGACTTTGGGAGATTGTATCATTGTATAATTGCATGGATGGAAGCATGTGTTGGCTCGCCGTGATACATTTTTCATATGCTGGGATTTTGGGTTTGTGGGTTGGTGATGTGTGTGAACAAATCCCATGTTTCTGATGTGTTCTGAACCAAACTGAATGGCAAGTCCCCAAGTAGTGATGAAATGAAAGAATAAAACAGATATTTGATTTACAGTGTTTTACTACTCACTTCAGTGACTCTTCAAGTTTGGAGATCTTCTTATTGGCCTCTTCTCTCTCTTTCTCCGCCTGGTTGTGTAGGGCACGCACCTGTGTGATTGTGTGAGTGAGTGAGAGAGAGAGGGGTAGAAACAGAGACAGACACTATGACAGCAGGTCCATCACTCAGCAAGCCCCCCTGTCCATGACCTTATCCACCTGGAGCCTGGGGTTGCCTCTTCCTGACCTCTAACTCCACCTATCATCAAGCTGCCATCTGGGCCCGTCTCCTGATAGGTGCTTAAGGGTATACAGACAGAAAGATTCTTTCATCAAGTTTACTGGGAGCTGGAGAAAGGATGTGCATTGTTTCCATACAATGTTATAGAGTGGGTCTGTGCTCAAAAAATGTGACTGAAGGATGCAGCTATTTAACTATTTATTCAACTAACAACTTCAATTCAGTCACACAAAGATGAAACAACAGAACGTGAAATGGCATTGACCCTCACCCTGACCCTGCTAACAGAGACCCAGACCTGGTAGCTAGCTAGCTTGCAGGTGTATCAGTCCAGTCCCCCAGTTCAGAGGTGCCTGACCTGAAACACACAGCCCTGCTACCCCCCCACCCCCCTTTATGACTGACTGCCTTGCCCTTCAACATGGGGGCTTTACTTTGAAGATGAACCAGGTGTTTGGACCTACATCTTAAAACCTGATCTTCACCCACCTGACTCTGGCCTGGCCCGGACCAACTCATTAGATGAGGGTATTTTTTATGACAACACGTTGGCTTTGAAGGGAGGCTTGAAAGAGTGAGGGGTCGCTGCCATCGCTGTCTGGCAGCAATTAAGGTCCTTGCTGGATTTAGCTGGGGCGACTAAGCATGGCTTTTCAGAGGACAAGACTTCATCTCCCGTCCCCTATGGCCTTAAATTGGGCACCTTTACACCACCACCCAAGCTCCCCACCCCCCCACTGTTCTCCTTCACCTTCAACTGGTCAACCCTACACCCCTCTAACCCTCCCTTGACTTTCAATTGGTCAGCTAACCCCCATCCCCCCTAAATGTCAAACCCTCACTCCTCCAAATGTCCCTCACCTTTCCACTCCACCCCTCCTCCCCACAGCCACTGAGCCCTGTGGACCCTGTGTCCAGCGGTAGTCTGACCTGCTAATCACAGCTTTGAGTTTACAGGCAGGACGTAACATATCAAAGGGAAGGGTAGAAGGGGAGCTAGGCAGGACCATGTGGGTCCAAGGCTTTTATCTCTCCCATTTAACCACAGTCAGTTTGTCAAACTAGGGCCGCTGGAAAGGCAGGTAGAATTTAATTATGATCAGGCTTTAGGTTTCACAGAGTTGACTTTAGGCACTGTAGGCCTACATAGTTATGTAGAGTAAAACTCAGAGGAAAGGACGCTCCTTATTAAGACAAAGTGAGACAGACTTTCTTTGTTTATTTAGGGCCTATATACTAAATAAGAGGACAGCCATATAATCTCAATTTGATATGAGAGTATTGTATCGATACAAATATAGATTTGACATGTGGGTAACTACATTGATTTGACATGTGGGTAACTACATTGATTTGACATGTGGGTAACTACATTGATTTGACATGTGGGTAACCATTGATAGGGATTGTACCTTTTTCTCACCGTCGTGCTGCAGATCTGCTTTCTCTTGTTGAAGTTTCTTATCTGTGTCCTGGAAAACACAAGTCAGTAAGTCTGAAACATTCATACAGAACTACAAGTTATTGTTGTGTGAGATGTGTTTTCCCCATTATTCACGTTCAAACTTCTTCCAGTTGTTGTGGAATTAAGCCATTCTTTCTCACTCTCACACTCTCTTACGCATGCACGCACGCACGCACACACACACACACACACACACACACACACACACACACACACACACACACAGTTTACCCTGAGTTGTTTCAGTCTCCTGTGCTCACTGTCCTGTAGCTGCTGTCTGAGCTGAGCCACTGTCTGTTCCAGGTCCTCAATCACATTAGAGGCCTGGGAGAGAGGGAGAAATGGAGGGATTGAGAGAGAAAGAGGAGAGAGAGGCAGGTAGCCTAGCAGTAAAGTTAAGAGCGTTGGGCCAGTAACCGAAAGGTTGCAGGGTCGAATCCCAGAGCCTACGAGGTGAAAAATCTGTCGATGAAGGCCCGTAACCCTAATTGCTCTGGATAAGAGTGTCTGCTAAATGACTAAAAGGTTAAGTGGAGATAGAGAGAGAGAGAGAGAGAGAGAGAGAGAGAGAGAGAGAGAGAGAGAGAGAGGATAACAACAGGAGTCTTATCTAACACAGCCACATTATTCAGCAGCAGGGGAATATAAATGCTGTCAAGTCTTCAGTTGAAGATAAGTCATACATAGTACAGCATAAGATATGCCTATGCATTCTACAACATCTTTGAGGGAGTGTGACCAGTCCAGCTAATAGTCCTTGCAGTGGTGTACAGTAGCATCAGGTGGTGTAGCATCAGGTGGTGTAGCATCTAGTTTTTCTATACTAATGTGGTTGGCTACCTTACGCCTCGATCACACCGACAGCGTAATTGCGTTTTGGTACACCAGAAATACATTAATTTCCAATGGAACGCTGTCTTTCCCTTGTAGCATTGCGTTGCAGAGGCAGTTGCAGTGTGTTCTGTGTGGTGCACACGTTGGATTTATCGAACATATGCATGAAAAAGGTGAATGTTGAACTTTTGTTGCACACACATCCAGATGATGCTGTGTACCATTTTGCGCAATGACACTGTCGCAGTGCAGTAGTGTTCTACAGTAGTTTAGTCTATTAACAGTAGTGTTCTACAGTAGTTTAGTCTAGCAGCAGAAGTGTTCTACAGTAGTTTAGTCTAGTAGCAGTAGTGTTCTACAGTACTTTAGTCTAGCAGCAGAAGTGTTCTACAGTAGTTTAGTCTAGTAGCAGTAGTGTTCTACAGTAGTTTAGTCTAGAGCAGTAGTGTTCTACAGTAGTTTAGTCTAGTAGCAGTAGTGTTCTACAGTAGTTTAGTCTAGTAGCAGTAGTGTTCTACAGTAGTTTAGTCTAGTAGCAGTAGTGTTCTACAGTAGTTTAGTCTAGTAGCAGTAGTGTTCTACAGTAGTTTAGTCTAGTAGCAGTAGTGTTCTACAGTAGTTTAGTCTAGTAGCAGTAGTGTTCTACAGTAGTTTAGTCTAGTAGCAGTAGTGTTCTACAGTAGTTTAGTCTAGAGCAGTAGTGTTCTACTGTAGTTTAGTCTAGTAGCAGTAGTGTTCTGCAGTAGTTTAGTCTAGTAGCAGTAGTGTTCTACAGTAGTTTAGTCTAGTAGCAGTAGTGTTCTACAGTAGTTTAGTCTAGTAGCAGTAGTGTTCTACAGTAGTTTAGTAGTATATATGGTTGGCTACCTTAGCAGCGGAGAGTGTGTGTTCCTGTTGGAAGTGGCTGATGTCAGTCTCATGTTTGGTCTGGAGCTTCTGCAGTGTGTCTTCATGTTGCTCACTCTGCTGCTCCTTCTCCCTCAGCAGAGACACCCTCCTGCACAACACAACACAGACATACTCAATACAGACATACACACAGTCAGCACAACTCACTAATGATTGCCAGAACCACTGACTACTATAAGGCCCTACTGCTTGGCTCAAACAGAGGCTGGAGCTGGGGCTTAGGCTGGGGAACTTGTAGTCGGATTGGATCGATAAATGAATTGGGGGTTGTCTGTGTATTTTGGGGTGAGACTTTTCCTTTCCTTTTTTCCATGTAAGGTTTGGGAAGAGAACAGTGAGTTGGTGGATGTTGGTGACCGTGTTGTGGGGTCTCCTCCTCACCGTCGGTTGGCTTCCTGCAGCTCAGAGCTGATGGTGGCGATGTGGATCTCCATCTGGCCCTTCTCCTGGGTCACCTTCTGCCTCAGCATGTTACCGTTCTCCACCTCCACTGACAGCTGCTTCACACGCAGCTCCAGCTCCCGCACTGTCTGCTCCTATACAGGGGGAGAGGACCAGATAAATAGAATCATTCTATTTGATTATATTTCTCTGGAGAGGACTTTCAGCATGAGAACCATCATTGACCACAATCAAGCCGAACAATTCTGTTACAGATGTGCCATCTTAATAGGACCCTGCTTCTCACAGCAGGAAAATAATTCTGCAGCAACAGGAAATGCAAATTATTATGTGGATTATAATTAATGGACATTTTTGTAGGGGTTGATACATTTTTCATTAGGGCAAATCAAGGCTGACATTTTTAAGTGGAAATCACAAACTTTAGAAGCCTTTTAAAATCTTGAATACACTACAATTTGCATTTCCTGCTGAGCAGGAAAAGTCTCTGCGACAACAGAAGTGATCAAATTAAGATAGCAGACTTGTACAACCCAGTTTCACCCCATTGTTCTACAGCCTGAGTGGGTCATCAATCCAAACCCACTTTACCAGTATCATCCTTAGCCTGAACCAGAAGAGGCTGGTGGGAGGAGCCATAGGAGGATGGGCTCATTGTAAAGACTGGAATAGAATACATGGAACGGTATCAAACATATGGAAACCACGTTTGACTTTGTTTCATTGATTCCATTCCACCCATTACAATGAGCCCGTCCTCCTATAGCTCCTCCCACCAGCCTCCTCTGGCCTGAACTCACTATCCCAGCACCACAAAACAGTTTACCCAACTGAACTCAATCTCAATTCTACAGTCAGCCTGAACTGACTGTGTTTCTCAGCAACCAGATTCTCCAATTCTCAGCTAAGCAGACATCAAAGTCCTCAGTGCACCAGGGAGAGATCCTATCAGGTGGGACTGTTTTAAAATACACATCTGATGCATCTGCAGGCTTTTCGTTCCCTCTGCAAAATCTCTAAGAGAAAGTTGCAGAAATAGAGGGACTTCAAAAAGTCAACTGTTCCATCTGCCTATGAAAACATCTTCTCTCTTGTTCCCAAAAGCGTTTTTCCCTCTCCCCAAGCTGCTGTTTCTTTCTGTTTCTCCTGCTCTGCCTAGTTCTGACTCCTCCATACACTCCTCTCAATACAAGTTTAAAGGGAAGACAGAAGCTGAGCTCATAGCTCTTGGTCTACGTAATCCCACCAAATCATCTAATCCCATTATTCATAAACCAGACAACCGCTCCAGATGACCAATCAGACAGACACCCTCATTCTGAACTCAATGGATGGTGATCAAACAAAGTCCAGGGGCGTGTTCATTAGGGTACATCATAGCAAAACATTTTGCAAAGGAAAACAAAAATGTCCAGGTAGTCCCTCCCTGTTTTCTTCTGACCATGACCCAGTTGATCGTGACTGCCCAGCTAGCACATAACGTTCTGAGAACCATAGGTTTATTAGAGCTTGGTGAGAGCATGGTTGTCCTATGGTTGTTTTGCATACAACCTTCCCACAACGTTCTGGGAATGGTGCAGGATAGTTGCTTGGCTTTGGAACATTCATCACATTTAAGGAACTTAAAAATAATGTTATTTTCTTGGTATTTCATAACTTTAACAGAACGTTTCCTACAAGTTCAAACATGGTTACATTTAATTTAACATTTGGTAACGTTCTAGGAACGTTCTCTAACTGGTTTGACATTGGGAATGTTCTCAATTACGCTCAGAGAACGTTAAGAAACAATGTTCTCCTGTGGGAATTTCAATACTTCAGCATAAAAAAGGTTTAAAAAGAGGTTTAAAAAAATCCATAGGGGCTGATTCACTTGATCCCATCTTACTGCAGCTCTCTGCCCCACTTATTGCAGAGCCATTGACCTATATTTTTATCTTGACAATTTCTGGTGTTATCTCTAAGATCTGGAAAGCGGCACATGTCCTCCTCCTACATAAAGGAGGAGATCCTTCTGACTTAGATAACTACCGTCCAATTTCCAAATGATCTTGCCTTTCCAAAGTTTTAGAATCCCTGGCCAACTCTCAGCTAAGAACTTTAACTTCTCACTCTATTCTAAATCTGGTTTTAGACCTGGACATAGCACCGTTTCAGCTGCTACGCTTGTTTTAGATTATGTGTAAAATTGCTTAGATCATAAATATAATTGTGCTGCCTTATTTATAGACCTTTCCAAGGTCCTCGATACTGTTGAACATCACATTCTCATTCAAAGGTTGACTGAAATAGGCCTGGATCAGGTTTCTTGCAAGTGGTTTGAGAATGATCTGTCAGACAGGACACAATGTGTGATTTCTGATGGTGTTAAGTCTAGTTTCCTGGATATTATAAAAGGTGTACTGCAGGGGTCGATATTGGGACCTGTTCTCTTTACTATTTATATAAATAACATTGGTCTATCTGTTAAAACTTGTAATATTCATCTGTATGCATACAACTGTTACGTATGCCATTGCCCCAACTGTTGACCAGGCTAGAGCTGCAATCTGACCTTGTTGCCTTACAGAAAGACCTGGTTGGTTTAAAACTTGTAAAACGGGTAAGACTAAATTCATGTTGTTCTTTAATTCTCGCAAAAATGTTTCAGATGGACTACATATTTATTCATTTGATGGTTCTCCCATCGATCAGGCATTTGGATTAACAAAGATTTAATGTTTAAAAAACATATGGATAAGCTAGTTAAAAAGCTAAGATTTAAAGTGGGCTTAGATCTTGGCTCTTCCTAAATAGCAGGAAGTAGATTGTATAGTCAACCTTCCTGCCAGTTCTTGACTATGGTGATACCATTTACCAGGTTGCAGCAGTCACTACTCTTAATCCTTTGGATGCCATCTTCTATAGCGCCATTTGTTTTATCACAGGTGACAGTGTTAATACTCACCACTGCATCCTGTATCAAAAGGTTGGCTGGTACTCATTAAAGTCCCGTAGATCACTTCATTACTCCCTTTTTGTTTACAAAGCTCTACTACATAAGCTTCCAACTTACCTAACTTAGTTGTTAAAGTACACAGGGTTGGTTAACTCTTGAGGTTCCTCGGGTCTCCACCGAACTCGGTAAATCCGCTTTTAGTTTTAATGCACCTCATTGCTGGAACCAACTACAAAATACATTCCAATTGGATGTTCTGGTGCTGGTCAGGCAATTTCTAATTTTGATTGGGGACCTTCGTACCGAGGAATGTATCTGTTTTTCTTGATGTGTGTTGTGCTGTTTGTTTTACACTGTATCTGATTTTGATTTGGTCTTATGAATTGTCCAGTATATGCAGGGCTCCCATGTGAAAGAGACCCTAGTCTCAATGGTGACTTAAATAAAGGTAAAAAAAATATATATATATATACTTCAAATCAAATCAAATGTTACTTGTCACATGCGCCAAATACAACAGGTGTAGAGCTTACAGTGAAATGCGTACTTACAAGCCCTTAACCAACAATGCAGTTTTAAGAAAAATAAGAGTTAAGAACATATTTACTAAATAAACTAAAGTAAAAATAAAAAATAACACTAAAATAACAATAACGAGGCTATATACAGGGGGTAGTGGTAACGAGTCAATGTGCGGGGGTACAGGTTAGTCGAGGTAATTGAGGTAATATGTACATGTAGGTAGGGGTAAAGTCACTATGCATAGATAAACAGCGAATCAGGGTAGTCATTTGATTAACTGTTCAGCAGTCTTATGGCTTGGGGGTAGAAGCTGTTAAGGAGCCATTTGGACCTAGACTTGGCGCTCCGGTACCGCTTGCCGTGCAGTAGCAGAGAGAACAGTCTATGACTTGGGTGGCTGGAGTCTTTGACAATTTCTAGGGCCTTCCTCTGACACCGCCTGGTATAGAGGTCCTGGATGGCAGGAAGCTTGGCCCCAGTGATGTACTGGGCCCTACGCACTACGCTCTGTAGCGCCTTGAGGTCGGATGCCAAGCAGTTGCCATACCAGGCAGTGATGCAACCTGTCAGGATGCTCTCGATGGTGCAGCTGTATAACTTTTTGAGGATCTGCCAAATCTTTTCAGTCTCCTGGGGCGTTGTTGTGGCCTCTTCACGACTGTCTTAGTGTGCTTGGACCATGATAGTTTGTTGGTGATGTGGACACCAAGAAACTTGAAGCTCTCGACCTGCTCCACTACAGCCCCGTCGATGTGAATGGGGGCGTGCTCGGCCCTCCTTTTCCTGTAGTCCACGATCAGATCCTTTGTCTTGATCACGTTGAGGGAGTGGTTGTTGTCCTGGTACCACACTGCCAGGTCTCTGACCTCCTCCCTATAGGCTGGCTCATCGTTGACGGTGATCAGGCCTACCACCGTTGTGTTGTCGGCAAACTTAATGATGGTGTTGGAGTCGTGCTTGGCCACGCAGTCGTGGGTGAAGAAGGAGTACAGGAGGGGACTAAGCACGCACCACTGAGGGGCCCCCGTGTTGAGGATCATCGTGGCAGATGTGTTGTTGCCTACACTTACCACCTGGGGACGGCCTGTCAGGAAGTCCAGGATCCAGTTGCAGAGGAAGGTGTTTAGCCCCAGGGTCCTTAGCTTAGTGATGAGCTTTGAGGGCACTATGGTGTTGAACTGTAGTCAATGACCAGCATTCTCACGTATGTGTTCCTTTTGTCTAGGTGGTAAAAGGCAATGTGGAGTGCAATAGAGATTGCGTCATCTGTGGATCTGTTGAGGCGGTATGCGAATTGGAGTGGGTCTAGGGTTTCTGGGATGATGGTGTTGATGTGAGCCATGACCAGCCTTTCAAAGCACTTCATGGCTACAGACGTGAGTGCTACGGGTCGGTAGTCATTTAGGCAGATTACCTTGGCGTTCTTGGGCACAGGGACTATGGTGGTCTGCTTGAAACATGTAGGTATTACAGACTCGGTCAGGGACAGGTTGAAAATGTCAGTGAAGACACTTGCCAGTTGGGCACTTGCCAGCATGATCTGAGTACACGTCCTGGTAATCCGTCTGGCCCTGCGGCCTTGTGAATGTTGACCTGTTTAAAGGACTTACTTCAGCATAACGTTTTCTGCAGGTTTCCTCATGGTTCTATTTAAAGTCATGTTCTCAGAACATTAAGAAAACCTTCCATAAAAACCACTACAAAACATATACATTCCGTTCTCAGCATCAACAAAACTCTATCTTGTTAAGTGTGTTCAGGTTTGTTGGCTGCGACCACTAATTATCAACACCTGATCTTAAAGAGTGCTTGTTTACTTTGAAATGGGGTCTGTTTGAATATCCTAAAATGAACACCTTCGTAAGAGGTAAAAAAAATACATGGCATGCTAGCTCTATCCTGGTGGTGCTGTGGACTAATTCTATAGATAGAGAACAGAAGATCATAGGTTTGAATCTTACTGATGCTGTGCCACAATAAAAAAGAAATGTATTTGCAGGACTAATGCCTAAGAAAATACATTTCCATGCGTTCCATTCCTTTCTGTGCTTGGAGTTTAAAAAAAGTTAACCCAAACTAAGCTAGCAGTGTTACTAAAAGTCTTATTGAAACATTCAGTGAAAGTTAAGAAAGTTATTCAAAAACCTCAAAATAACCTATAATCTCCGTTCTCAGAACATTAATAAAACCTCCCAGGAAAACTTTAAGGGAACCATAGTAAAATGTTCTCAGAACGTCCCTGCAAAAAAAGTATGTTCCCAGAACAGGCTACATTTTCACTTCAAATTTCTGAATGTTTAACAATGTTCCATTTTACCGGTCAGGAAACTGATGGCTTCGTTTCCAGAACCAATGGAAAACCAAAAAACATATGTTCCCACAACTTCCAAGGAACCAAATGTGCTAGCTGGGTGATGCTTCCACTAGTGTCTTAATAAAAAGAGTTGATTCAACCACCTACTCTCCCTGTGTGACAGTTTGGAATGCAGCGCGTTCGCAGGTTGATACAGGTGATGACAGAGTGGCTGGTTAAAGATGGGGAGCGTGCAGTCCTCTCTAGCCGATGAGAGAGCCGACTGAGACAGGAGAGTTCTGTGTGTTTTTGGGACGGAGAGTGACAGCCAGAGCCGTCAGGCCCTGTGAGAGGGGTCCTTTGTGAATTGTCTGCAGTCGGCCAACAAGAGTGCCTTAAGAAAATTAAGGGGGAACGAAGGGGGACTGAGCCAGGACGTGTGCTGACACTTAACGCCCTGGCAGGGGATGAGACGGAGAGGCTGTGTGTGTGTGTGTGTGTATGTGTGTGTTTGGAGCACTCCCCTAAGCACCAGGTGTTAGCAGCACGTTACATTAACGGCACTGAGCTCCACTAATGGGCTCCTTCAGAGAGACAGACACAAAGTGACAAGTGTGTAGTGACAGGCTACATATTAGCTTCGCTCTTCTGAGTCCTTCATAGATTTAACTAGGATAAAAATGGGTCTTCTTTGAAGTGATAAAAAACAAATTTGGCCCCAAAAATTATTTATCAAAGACAAGTTGCATAACATAATGTAACAGATTCAATATTCAGTGATGGATGACCTACCAATGCCAGTTAAAGAGGTGGTCTCACTTAAACATATTCACACATATTACACACCAGGAGAAGACTTGGAGTGCTTGTATGCTGTGGTCTCCATGCCACCTGTGGTTGTGTGTGATGCAGCTAAAGATGCTGTTATGGTACAGGAACACTGTAGTGGCCTGTCAGGGACGTGTTCTGTTCTCCTTGTCTCCGTTGACGCACACAGACAAGCACACACACACTCACAAAAAGATTTCATTCATATTTCACCTTGTCTTCATTTTGACATACACTCGCAGCTGCTCTACCTGAACTGTTCTAGACACCAGACAAGTTAGAAAAACAATTACAGGTGTCAAAACAGCCTATGTGAAAATGTGTGTGTTACAGTGGCTTGCGAAAGTATTCACCCCCCTTGGCATTTTTCCTATTTTGTTGCCTTATAACCTGGAATTCAAATAGATTTTTTTGGGGGGTTGAATCATTTGATTTACACAACATGCCTACCACTTTGAAGATGCAAAATATTTTTAATTGTGAAACAAACAAGATAAAAGACAGAAAAACAGAAAACTTGAGCGTGCATAACTATTCACCCCCCCCCCCAAAGTCAATACTTTGTAGAGCCACCTTTTGCAGCAATTACAGCTGCAAGTCTCTTGGGGTATGTCTCTATAAGCTTGGCACATCTAGCCACTGGGATTTTTGCCTATTCTTCAAGGCTTCAGCTCCTTCAAGTTGGATGGGTTCCGCTGGTGTACAGCAATCTTTAAGTCATACCACAGATTCTCAATTGGATTGAGGTCTGGGCTTTGACTAGGCCATTCCAAGACATTTAAATGTTTCCCCTTAAACCACTTGAGCATTGCTTTAGCAGTATGCTTAGGGTCATTGTCCTGCTGGAAGGTGGACCTCCGTCCCAGTCTCAAATCTCTGGAAGACTGAAACAGGTTTCCCTCAAGAATTTCCCTGTATTTAGCGCCATCCATCATTCCTTCAATTCTGACCAGTTTCCCAGTCCCTGCCGATGAAAAACATCCCCAGAGCATGATGCTGCCGCTGCCATGCTTCACTGTGGGGATGGTGTTCTCGGGGTGATGAGAGGTGTTGGGTTTGTGCCAGACATAACGTTTTCCTTGATGGCCAAAAAGCTCAATTTGAGTCTCATCTGACCAGAGTACCTTCTTCTATTTGTTTGGGGAGTCTCCCACATGGTTTTTGGCGAACACCAAACGTGTTGGCTTTTTTCTGGCCACTCTTCCGTAAAGCCCAGCTCTGTGGAGTGTACGGCTTAAAGACATGGACAGATACTCCAATCTCCACTGTGGAGCTTTGCAGCTCCTTCAGGGTTATCTTTGGTCTCTTCGTTGCCTCTCTGATTAAAGCCCTCCTTGCCTGGTCCGTGAGTTTTGGTGGGCGGCCCTCTCTTGGCAGGTTTGTTGTGGTGCCATATTCTTTCAATTTTTTAATAATGGATTTAATGGTGCTCCGTGGGATGTTCAAAATTTCAGATATTTCTTTATAACCCAACCCTGATCTGTACTTCTCCACAACTTTGTCCCTGACCTGTTTGGAGAGCTCCTTGGTCTTCATGGTGCCGCTTGCTTGGTGGTGCCCCTTGCTTAGTGGTGTTGCAGACTCTGGGGCCTTTCAGAAAAGGTGTATATATACTGAGATCATGTGACAGATCATGTGACACTTAGATTGTACACAGGTGGACTTTATTTAACTAATTATGTGACTTCTGAAGGTAATTGGTTGCACCAGATCTTATTTAGGGGCTTCATAGCAAAGGGTGTGAATACATATGCATGCACCACCTTTCCGTTATTTATTAGGTAGAATTTTTTTAAACAAGTGTTTTATTTTTATTTTTTTTATTTTTTACTTCACCAATTTGGACTATTTTGTGTCCATTACATGAAATCCAAATAAAAATCAGTTTAAATTACAGGTTGTAATGCAACAAAATAGGAAAAACGCCAAGGGGGATGAATACTTTTGCAAGGCACTGTATATATTGAAACTCTCACTCTGTCAGATAGCTTTGATAGACTTCACTTTACCTTCTGGTTTTTGGCAAGCACCAGAAACACTGCACACAGAAACACTGCACACGGTTGCATGATGAAAGACAAACATAATATTTCAGAGGGCTTCGATACTGAGACATCAAATAGAGAGGGGGAGTTCAGAGCTACCTCACCTCAGCTGACATCTCTTATGAAGAGAACAGGGGTGTGTGTGTGTGTGTGTGTGTATGTGCGCCCGTGTGAGTGCATGCATGTGTACCTCTGTGTGGAGGTCAGCCTAAACTAACAGCGGGTAGAGCACCTCATTTCATTTTACATTTACATTTTAGTCATTTAGCAGACGCTCTTTTCCAGAGCGACTTACAGTTAGTGAGTGCATACATTTTCACACTGGCCCCCCGTGGGAAACGAACCCACAATCTTGGCGTTGCAAGCACCATGCTCTACCAACTGAGCTACAGGGGAGAGAGGGCCCTTTCATGTTGCGGGTCCCACCTGGCTATAGACTGTTTAATTATTAAAGAGGGGTCTTACCCGGCCTCACACGGCCCACTTTGATGCTTCTTAAATTCCAGCTTGCTGACAGACTAAGGCCAGGAGCAGCTATCGCTGCACATGGGAGCGTGTGTGTGTGTGTGTGTGTGTGTGAGAGAGAGAGAGAGAGAGAGAGATATAGAAAGAGCGAGAAAGAGAGAGAGAGAAAGTGTATGCATAGGAGTGTACACTTTACCCGTGAAAGCTGCTGAATGCAAATGTCTGTGTGTGTGAGAGAGGGAGATGCAGAAGGAGTATGTGTGTGTGTGTGTGTGTGTGTGTGTGTGAGACAGCGAGAGAAAGTGTGTTTGCGTATGTACTGTATGTGTAGGAGTGTACACTTTAATTGTGAAAGCTGCTGAATGCAAATGTCTTAAGAGAAGCTAAATTCATTAAGTACTGTACTGTATCTGACTGGCCCGTTGCTGATCATCCTTACCTAAACCCCGTCCCCTCCTTGGTCCCACATTAGGTCCCTAACACACAGATCAAAATAAACAGCCCCTCCCCCCCCACTCACGGTAATCCGTGTCTGGGCGCTGTACTCGGCCTCCATCTTGGCCAGCCTCTGGTTGGTGTCCTCCAGCAGCTCCTGAATGTTCTCGGTGTGCTTCTTCTGCAGCTCAAACTTCTCCTGCTCCATGCCCGCCACCGCCGCGTGCAGCTGGGGAGAGGATGGGCAACGGACACCACTGCGTCAGTCAGCCTATCACAGCTACTACTTGTGGTACCTCGGCTACCTCCATTGGCCTAGGTGTCCAATCAGTCATTCTACTGTACCAGCTCTGGCCTGTTCTGCGTCTCTCTCTCTCTCTCTGCGTCTCTCTGTCTCTCTCTCTGCGTCTCTCTGCATCTCTCTCTCTCTCTCTGGGTCTCTCTCTCTCTATGCGTCTCTCTCTCTCTATGCGTCTCTCTCTCTCTATGCGTCTCTCTCTCTCTATGCGTCTCTCTCTCTCCATGCGTCTCTCTCTCTCTATGCGTCTCTCTCTCTCCATGCGTCTCTCTCTCTCTATGCGTCTCTCTCTCTCTATGCATCTCTCTCTCTCTATGCGTCTCTCTCTGTCTCTCTCTCTCTCTCATTTTCAATAGATATATCAAGTCAACCCTTATTCAGGGGCGAGATACCTTATTTTAAGGGCAGGAGAGTTAATTTTTCTCATTACATCTAAGCAGAGCTTTCCTTATGGATTTCGCTATCATACGTTTAGTCATACGTTTAGTGAACCTGAACAGAAGAGGGGAAATGTAATTGAGATCTCATTGAGCGGCTCAGTTAACTAAAGTTAGAGGGACTGAAAAGACAATTTAGAGAAGACTTACTAACATTATTTTTTCAATAATAAAAACACACTAAATAGAATAAAGAATCTAGAATCTAGAATAAAGATTTCCCAGCTCTACAGTGAGCCTGGCTTGGTTGAGGTCTGCCCAGATTCCGCCCTTTCAAATCCTTCTATAGCAGCCTTCCTCAGGCTCAGGATTGCGTAGGAGCTAGGGCTGGTTGGAAATCCAGTTCAGCCCTTCAACTTTCCTTTACCTTTTTCTCCCACTCGTTTTTCAGGGAGTCGGTGCTCTGATCTGACATCTTCTTCAGCTCACCGATCTGCTTCTCTTTGCTCTCGCAGATGACCTGGGACTCGCGCACCACGCTTTGAACTATGGATGGAAAAACAACACATACACACAGACAGAGAACTCAGTAAGGCCCTGCCTCAGGGCCTACACAAATGTAGACAGAGACACACACATACACACACACACCAATAAACGTTTGTTTCTTTCACACTACTTCAACTAAGTTCTGTGTTCAGCATGCTTTGTTGGCCTCGTCATTGTTGTTTTATATTGTATGTCAGCACTAAGAATATCTCCAATCTCCCATATTGTGTCTGGGTTAAAGCTGAGTATAGAGAACGTCTGCAACTAAATAGCTCTGTGTTGGAAGCGTACTGTACAACATGCACCGTCACTAAAGATGATGTTTATGACAAGTGTGAAATATCAGTGGGTCTCATAAACGTGCTGTTAGAAGGAGCACAGCTGGGTAGCATCGCGCCACACCAGTGGGGTCTCCCCCTGTAACAGTAACACTGCGTTTAAAATGGGATTTTACTCTGAGTGTGCAGAGACACACTGGTGTAAACATCCCCTTGAGTCTGCCTCCAGGCTCGACCCCCACCATGACTCCACAACCTCTGACCTTTCTTCTCCAGCTTGCGCACACTCTCCTCCGATTCCTTCTGCTTGGCTCTGTACATGGTCTTCAGCTCCTCGATCTCGCCATTCTTACGGTCTAAAATCTGAAATGGAAAAGGGACAGGTAAATTCAACCTCTTCAAAAGTGTTGCATGTTGTTTCATAGTGTTTGCAAAATGTTGCATAAATATTGTAGTTCCGGATACACCTCATTTTCAGCTCTTCCTTCATTTCTCACCTACTGTTTTTGTTCAGGTGGTTATGATTCAGCCCTTCCTTCATTTCTCATCTACTGGTTTTGTTCAGGTGGTTATGATTCAGCTCTTCCTTCATTTCTCACCTACTGTTTTTGTTCAGGTGGTTATGATTAATCTCTTCCTTCAGTTCTCATCTACTGTTTTTGTTCAGGTGTTTATGCAGACATTCAGGAACTTGCTCATTAGAAATTATGTGCTTCAATATGATTGTAGTGCACTGTGGTTGGTGCAAAATGTGTGTCTTCATACCTTTGCAAGCTAGACTTATTGAAAGTTAACAACTTAAATTAGTAGCAAAGGCCCCATCCAGAACCAACCCTTAGCACTAGACACTTGTTTAGATCTGAAAGGATTGGATAGGTATAAGCAAGATGACAAAATAATCAGCTGGGTGGACACTACCATATCTATCCAATTCTTTCAGATCTACATGAAGTGCCTAGGGGAAGGGGCTAGGGCCCAGAATGGAGCAATATTGTATAATTGCTACACCTGAGTTTGAGTGATTAGGTCACTGATTGCCACCAGCTGTCTCTAATTGAAACCTAGGAGAGTCAAGGTGCCAATATAAGGAGAGAGCAGCACACTCACAGTTAAAGCAGGAAGGTGTTAGCAGGCTGTCTGTCACCACACCATAGTTACTGGGGATTGCTACTGGGCTCTGCAGATGCTCTGACTGCTATGGCTCTTGGACTTGCTTTAAGGTAAGAAACATGGGTTCTCTTCAATTAGTTGTAATGTTGCACTGGCCCTTAACTAATCATTTTGTCTTGCTTTTCAGGGTCTCTTGGCTCTGTTGTCTGCTTTCTGGAGGAAGTAATGTTTTTCTTGCCCAAAGTGGTAAGACATTTTGTTTAAGACTAGCATGACTTTGGTTGGTATTAAAATTCAGCCCTCATGTATTTAAGTTGTATGTACAGGATATTGTCCAATGAAATGCGTGCTTGCATGTTCCTTCTTGACAACTCCCCATCAATGAGTCATAATAACAGTAAAGAATATGAACAAATGAAATGGCTGAGTAGAACAAACATTTAAAGTATAATACAGGAAGGTTATAGTATACTTTTGTAAATATTATCTAACCCTATTTTATTATTTAGGCTATGGCTATCCATATGAACCTACTTATGGAGGTGTGCTTTCCCCTCGTGGCAGTTCGTCTGGCAAGTATGGTTCTGTCCTTGGGCACGCCAGCTACCAGCCCAGTGAAGAGGGACCATCCACCAGTGTTGTATCTGGTCAGCGTGAACAAGGCCAGCAGTCTGGTGAAGACATGCAGCAGGCTTACTACCCCACCTACTATGTGTCCAACAAGGGGTATGAGCCCAACTGGTTTAGCATTACTCCCTCCCATCCAAGCACTGGCTCTGACAACACCCAGGAGCCAGGCAAAATGTTCTCTCAGCTGAACAACCTCCCTAATGCACAAAGACCAGTGAACCGCAACGCTAAGAATTGGGTGTTAGTCAAGCCTAACCCAGCCACCACATTTCCCCAGTCCAAAGGCAACGAGCAAGTTCCTGGGAAGAAGTCTCCCTCTGTCCCTGAGCAGCCACAACAAGCTCCCAGCAGCCAGAAGCTCCCAAAGATTCCCTCCAGAACCACACCAGTAAAGGGTATTCCACAGTCATGGTGGCACTTGGAGCAGCCAGAACAAGTCCCCAGTGGCATGACACTCCCACAGATCACCAACAGATCCAGTGCTCCTGAGGTAGCAGGACATGTGCAAGGCAGGCCACAGGGGTATTGGGTATGGGTTTCAGCAGATTCCTCCATTACCCTGCCCACTGGCAACCAGCAAAGTAAGGGGATAACGTCCCCCTCTTTCACTGAGCAGCCAGAACAGGCCCCCTGGATCAAGCAGAAAAAACAGGTCCCCGAGATCGCACAGGTCCCCCGGATCAAGCAGAAGAAAATGGTCCCCGAGATCGCACAGGTCCCCTGGATCAAGCAGAAAAAAGTGGTCCCCGAGATCGAGCAGCAAGCACAGGTCCCAGAGCTCAACCAGGTCCCCGAGATCGAGCAGCAAGAACCGGTCCCAGAGATTGAGCAGCAAGCACTGGTCCCCTGGATCAAGCAGAAAGTGGTCGCCAAGATCGCGCAGCAAGCACAGGTCCCCTGGATCAAGCAGAAAAAAGTGGTCCCCTGGATCAAGCAGAAAGTGGTCCCAGAGATCGAGCATCAAGCACCGGTCCCCTGGATCAAGCAGAAAAAAGTGGTCCCCGAGATCGAGCAGCAAGAACAGATCCCAGAGATTGAGCAGCAAGCACTGGTCCCCTGGATCAAGCAGAAAAAAGTGGTCCCCGAGATCGAGCCGCAAGCACAGGTCCCCGAGATCGAGCAGCAAGCACAGGTCCCAGAGCTCAACCAGGTCCCCGAGATCGAGCAGCAAGAACCGGTCCCAGAGATCGAGCAGGTCCCAGAGATTGAGCAGCAAGCACTGGTCCCCTGGATCAAGCAGAAAGTGGTCCCCAAGATCGAGCAGCAAGCACAGGTCCCCTGGATCAAGCAGAAAAAAGTGGTCCCAGAGATCGAGCAGCAAGCACAGGTCCCCTGGATCAAGCAGAAAAAAGTGGTCCCCTGGATCAAGCAGAAAGTGGTCCCCAACATCGAGCAGCAAGCACAGGTCCCCTGGATCAAGCAGAAAAAAGTGGTCCCAGAGATCGAGCAGCAAGCACAGGTCCCCTGGATCAAGCAGAAAAAAGTGGTCCCCAACATCGAGCAGCAAGCACAGGTCCCCTGGATCAAGCAGAAAAAAGTGGTCCCCAACATCGAGCAGCAAGCACAGGTCCCCTGGATCAAGCAGAAAGTGGTCCCCAAGATCGAGCAGCAAGCACAGGTCCCCTGGATCAAGCAGAAAAAAGTGGTCCCAGAGATCGAGCAGCAAGCACAGGTCCCCTGGATCAAGCAGAAAGTGGTCCCCAACATCGAGCAGCAAGCACAGGTCCCCTGGATCAAGCAGAAAAAAGTGGTCCCTGAGATCGCGGAGCCAGGTGACGCAATTAAGCAGACTGTTAGCCCCAATATCTTCCCTGCTCTACCTCCATTCAGCTTTATTTTTCAGAACCATAACAGCTATGAACGAGGCAGAGTGGTCTTATCCAACACCCGCTACTCTCCAGGAGACACAGCTCAGACCTCTGTTAATGTTGTATCCTATGAAGTCAGTAAACCTGTACCGAACAGCCTCTCCTTAGATCCCTAGTGCTGGAGCCAAAGGTGTGACGTCTCCTCTGAGGTAATTTATGGTTCCTTGTCTGGCTGAGACTCTCAAATTGAGATGTTTGGTATCCAATTCGCTTACTTAGTTTCTCAGGAATAACTGACTGGATCGTGACCAAGGCTGAAAAATGCTGGATAGTCTTCACATTAAGCCTTCAGAATGTAATTTGCAGCTTGGCCCGACTGTTATTCCTGCTACTTTGTAATGACCAGATTCCAAATAAAACTTTCAATTGGAATATGTATGCTGTCTATTTCTTCTACTGAAGTTAGTTATTATTGCTGTAGTTATTTTCATGATGTGCTGTTTCTGCTCGACATAAATTAATGTATGTAGAATTTTGGCTATCGACAGTTTGATTATTTCAGGGTGTTGTAGGCTACCTAGGGCCGACTGCTATCTGACAGCTAATAGGGTCCTTAAGAGCTTTATATCTGGCGTGTGTCCGCTGAGGCTGGGAGTCCTCTGCTAACAGGTTCTACAGATTTCTCATCAGCCCATTGTGTGACTGAGCGCAAACTCACTTTTCTGACTCTGCAGATGTACAGTGGGGGGAAAAAAGTATTTAGTCAGCCACTAATTGTGCAAGTTCTCCCACTTAAAAAGATGAGAGAGGCCTATAATTTTCATCATAGGTACACGTCAACTATGACAGACAAAATGAGAGAATCACATTGTAGGATTTTTAATGAATTTGCAAATTATGGTGGAAAATAAGTATTTGGTCAATAACAAACGTTTCTCAATACTTTGTTATACACTTTGTTGGCATGACACAGGTCAAATGTTTTCTGTAAGTCTTCACAAGGTTTTCACACACTGTTGCTGGTATTTTGGCCCATTCCTCCATGCAGATCTCCTCTAGAGCAGTGATGTTTTGGGGCTGTCGCTGGGCAACATGGACTTTCAACTCCCTCCAAAGATTTTCTATGGGGTTGAGCTCTGGAGACTGGCTAGGCCACTCCAGGACCTTAATGCTTCTTACGAAGCCACTCCTTCGTTGCCCGGGCGGTGTGTTTGGGATCATTGTCATGCTGAAAGACCCAGCCACGTTTCATCTTCAATGCCCTTGCTGATGGAAGGAGGTTTTCACTCAATCTTATGATACATGGCCCCATTCTTTCCTTTACACGGATCAGTCGTCCTGGTCCCTTTGCAGAAAAACAGCCCCAAAGCATGATGTTTCCACCCCCATGCTTCACAGTAGGTATGGTGTTCTTTGGATGCAACTCAGCATTCTTTGTCCTCCAAACACGACGAGTTGAGTTGTTACCAAAAAGTTATATTTTGGTTTCATCTGACCATATGACATTCTCCCAATCCTCTTCTGGATCATCCAAATGCACTCTAGCAAACTTCAGACGGGCCTGGACATGTACTGGCTTAAGCAGGGGGACACGTCTGGCACTGCAGTATTTGAGTCCCTGGCGGCGTAGTGTGTTACTGATGGTAGGCTTTGTTACTTTGGTCCCAGCTCTCTGCAGGTCATTCACTAGGTCCCCCCGTGTGGTTCTGGGATTTTTGCTCACCGTTCTTGTGATCATTTTGACCCCACGGGGTGAGATCTTGCGTGGAGCCCCAGATCGAGGGAGATTATCAGTGGTCTTGTATGTCTTCCATTTCCTAATAATTGCTCCCACAGTTGATTTCTTCAAACCAAGCTGCTTACACAACACAATGCCACAGATGTCTTAAGTTTTGAGGGAGCGTGCAATTGGCATGCTGACTGCAGGAATGTCCACCAGAGCTGTAGCCTGTATTAATGGCACCTGTTTGAACTTGTTATCAGTATAAAAGACACCTGTCCACAACCTCAAACAGTCACACTCCAAACTCCACTATGGCCAAGACCAAAGAGCTGTCAAAGGACACCAGAAACAAAATTGTAGACCTGCACCAGGCTGGGAAGACTGCATCTGCAATAGGTAAGCAGCTTGGTTTGAAGAAATCAACTGTGGGAGCAATTATTAGGAAATGGAAGACATACAAGACCACTGATAATCTCCCTCGATCTGGGGCTCCACGCAATTCTATTTTGTTTGTTTTTACTCATGAACTTCCTCTACCCTCAACCTCTCCGATCATTTTCATGATGTCCATCCGGTTTGCTTCTATATGCCATATCTTTCTAACTGTGCTCTTTCACAAAAGCTCTCAACCTATAACCTATATACTTATTATGGACACAGTATGCTTTGCATTAGTTATCTTGTTATTAGTCCCATCCTTCAACTCCATTCAACACCACCCATCTATCTCTTAACACCATCCATATTGGATTTCTATTTGCCATATATTTTTCAACTGTACTGTGATGTTTTACAAAAGTTCTGAACCCTTCTATTCTCATTGTTTCTACAGATTGTAAATTGAAAATAAACATTTTTGCTAAAAGTATTATTATATTATTGATCGATTGACTATGACTTTTCAGATCACCCAGTAGTGCTATCTGCAGGGTTAGCTCCAGGTAAATATTGCAATCCTTTAGCCATTCCTGGACCTGTGTCCAAAAACAAGCTACAAATGGACAGTACCAAAACAAATGATTTAATGATTCTGTCTCTTCGCAGCAAAATCTGCAGAGCTGGGAAGATTGTGTCCCCCATATAAATAACATTATATTGGTAGCAAGAATTTTATATAATAGTTTAAATTGAAAAATTATATGATTTGAATCCGGCGTCGTTTTGCGCATCAGTTCATAAACACTATGCCATGGAATCAGTACGTCAAAAATCTCTTCCCATCTATTTTGCAATCTATATGGGACGGCTGTCAATCCTTTGGTCCTTAAATGAAACTGGTATACTTTTTTATTTATCACAATTTTCTTTAACCAATTATGTTCTTTAACGCAGTGCCGACAGACAAGATAATGGTTTTTATCAATTAGTATATTTGAGTTTAATCACAATATTTGTTGCATTATTTGTTCTGTCGTTTCTGGAGGATTAAATTGAAATTGCAACCAACTTTCTATGGCTTGTTTTAGAAATAGTGATATTTGGGAGATTATTTCCTTTTCAAATAACTTAAAGTGAGAGGTTGTAATCTGAATAAAGGGAAGAAGGCCATTCTTGAACATTGGGTGAGACAATCTTACTAATTTTCTAGAGAACCAGTTCAGATTTAAGTATAACTTTTGTATGACTGAAGCTTTTAGTGATAGGTCTAATGAGTTAATATTTAATAATTTCTGTCCTCCGAATTCATATTCATGATATAAATAGGCCTGTTCAATTTAAATTAAAAAAACTGTTTGCTAGGCGTAGGCAAGACCATAACAAAATAGGTAAACTGGGATAATACTAAAGAGTTAAATCAGGGTGGTTTTTCCACAAATTGACAGGTATTCACCTTTCCATGGTAGCAAGATTTATCTATTTTTGCTAACTTTCTATTAAAATGTATTGGAGTGAGATCATTTCTTTCATTTGGGATATGTATTCCGAGTATATCCACATCACCATCAGACCATTTTATTGGTAAACTACATGGTAATGTAAAAATTGTATTTTTTGTGATCCAATACGTAATATAGTACATTTATCATAATTTGATTGTAATCCAGAGAGGTTAGAAAATGTATCTAGATCCTCTATGAGGCTGTGGAGGGATTCAAGTTGTGGATTTAAAAGAAAACATGAATCATCAGCGTACAATGACACCTTTGTTTTTAAGCCCTGGATTTCTAATCCCTTGATATTATTGTTGGATCTGATTTTAATAGCTAACATTTCGATGGCCATAATAAGGGGGGAAGGACAACCTTGTTTCACTCCTCTTGACAGTTTAAAACTTTCGGAGAAATAGCCATTATTTACTATTTTACACCTAGGGTTACTATACATGATTTTAACCCATTTTATAAAAGAGATTCTCCAAAATTGAAATGCTCCAGGCATTTATATATAAACCCCAGTCGTACTTTATCAAATGCCTTTTCAAAGTCTACTATGAATAGCAGGCCTGGTTTCCCTGATTTTTCATAGTGTTCTATTGTTTCCAGTACTTGCCTTTATTATCTCCAATGTATCGTCCATGTAAAAAACCTGTCTGATTAGAATGAATAATGTCCGACAATACCTTTTTAATTCTATGCGCTATACATTTTGCTAGAATTTTTGCATCACAACACTGAAGTGTAAGGGGCCTCCAATTTGTTTAATGGACTGGATCTTTATATTTTCCACTTGTATCCTGTTTCAGTAATAATGAAATCAGACCATCTTGAGTGTCTGATAATCTACCATTTACATAGATGGATTATCTTGGCAAAGGAGAAATGGTCTCTAACAGGGATGTAAACAAATTTGTGCACAAATTTTGAGAGAAATACGTTTTGTGCATATGGAAAATGTCTGGGATATTTTATTTCAGCTCATGAAACATGGGACCAACACTTTACAGTTTATATTTTTGTTCAGTGTACATATCTACCTGAATGACCTCGTACCCCTGCACATCAACTGGGTAATGATTCCCGTGTATATAGCTACGTTATCATTCCTCATCGTGGATTTATTCCTGGTTATTATTTTTCTATTTATTCCTCGTTATTTTTCTACTATTTCTTTTTTTTCCTCTCTGTGCATTGTTGGGAAGTAAGCATTTCACTGTTAAGTCTACACCTGTTGTTTACGAAGCATGTGACAAATAGCATTTGATTTGATTTAATGAGAGATACACAATACTGCATCAACAGAATTCCCATCCCCAAACACATCTCATAACAGGAGGTGTCTACAGATGAGCCTTGACTGACATCACTGCATCCTCTGACTCCATTGTGTCCCCTTCCAATGCGGACATCAAATAAAATATCACATGCATGAGTGAAACTAAATATTTAAAAAAATGATACCAGTACATTGTTTTAGAAATGGTGAGCGCTGGGCTCTCCATTGTACTGAACTGATAACAGTGTTGTGTCTTGTGTTATGCATAGCAGTACATGCTAGGAGGCAAATCAGTGTTATTCGGAATGATAATATCCTCAGAGCTGCATTAGTATAGGGGACCATGAAAGAGGCTGTTTTAGAACACATGACAGAGAGAGAGAGAGGAGAGAGAGAGAAGGAGAGAGGAGAGAAAGAAAGAACACAAGTTCAGGACTGTGGACCATTTCACAGCGCCGCCTTGTCTTTTGATACGCACGGTGGAGATTTGATCAAAACCTCCTGTAAGAGAGATTATTTCCCCTCCTAAACAGTCCCGGGGACCATCAGAGGGTTATTTGTCCTGGGTTTTGTCTGTTAGAAGTGCACTCTGTGTCTAAGCCTGTCGTGGCCAGAGTGAGTGGGATGGGAGAGATGAAAGGGAAGGGAATGAAGGGGGGCAAAGGAAAGTTCACAGAACATTTAGAGACGTCCAATTTTGAAATGTTCCCATCGGCCTTCCTGAGAGGAGAGAGGAGGGTGTGTTTTGGGCACACATAGAGGGGGCCGTCGTAACGGGGTGTCAGAGATGGGGTCCAGAGGGACTTGGCTGGGAGTGGGAGCTGAGGAAGGACAGCTTTCAGGACGGTAATTGTGGGGCTTTTATAACATCTCTATTGCAGAGAGACTCCAGCCAGCCTGACTGACTGACTAGCATAGACACTAATACTATCCGACCGTCTGGAGGAAGAGGAGCCATTACATTACACACAAAGGCACAGCATACAGCAATCTGAGATAGCATAGCAATCTGAGGATGTACAATATGGGTTGTTATTTGTCAATCATCTCTTTACAGTCTCAATGGAGCTTGATAATCTAGGCTACACAGCATTATGAAAAAAAGTATTTCACTATTGTGGTATTCTGGCCATCTCAGATCCTTAGAGGATTGCTCCTTGGGCAGCACCTTATAGATGGATATATTAAACCCTGTTTGTTCACGCGCTCCAACACTGCCATGTTAAAAAACTAATACAGGTCTGCCTGAGCTAATTATATAGCTATTGTGCGCACGCACACACACACACACACACACACACACACACACACTATTGATCCATGGCTATACATACCATCCAACACTCAGGCCTGTTCTCTTGTTATCCTCTCTCATGTCATCTATGAGACAATGACCAGTCTTACCACCATCAGCACCACACTCATCCATAATTCATCTACCTGGTGCTAGTTAAAACTAGCGCAAGCCAGCTTCCCCATGCACCTTTGAATGGGCTTGTTAAAGTCTCTACCCCACCACCACTCCCCTTTGAAGCCATTAGTCAAACGGCTGGGTAAACAGGGACCAAATTGAATCCGACATCGCTCGCAATCTGTACGCAATTAGCGTGATTTCCCTGCAATGACACAGACACTAAAGAGAGAGGGATGGAGAGAGAGAGAGCGGGAGAGGTGGGGAGGGGAGGAGCTGTCACCGTGTCTCCTGTCAGAGACAAAGAGCTAATCGACAGTTTAAACAGAGGGAAAATTGGGCTATTTCTGTTTTATTGAAAGATTCTGTGGCAACAATGAAAACAGACATTTTCCGGACGAAGTTGACAGATCCCAGGTGCTTGATGTAGAGCTGAGTCTATATACCCCTGGTGAAATGACACTAACTGGGTGCTATTCAGACTTCAGAGTCATTTCCACCAAGATTACAAGGAGCTTTGAAGAGGGCCTGAGTAGGATGCTGAAGAGCTATTTGTCTTAGTGGAGGAGTCCCAAAGAGGGAGGGAGAAAAGTGTTTGAGCCCAGCCAAAAAGTCATCAGATGTAGTGTCATGGTGGGGGTGGGGAAGTGTGCAGGGAGAATTCCTCGTTATACCTACCTTCTGCACTGTCTCACTTTACTGTGTGTTTGTCCTCCATTATATAAATGCATGGTTTCATGTCTGGGCCATACTATAACCTCCCTACAGATTATATTATGGCTGTATGTGTGAATTTCTCTAAAATATCAAATAATCAAACGAATTCAATCATTCAATTAATTCATTGATAAATCATTCAGCGCTTTGACCTTCTGCACGTCTGCGTCGTGCTTCTGCTGCATCTTCAGTTTCTCCTCCTGGTGCTTGGCCTCCAGGACTTTAGTCTTCATCTCAGCCTGCTCGGAAACACACAGGACCATGACAGACAGGGGAGTCAATACACATATCATCCAAACACAGCACAGGAGATGGACAAAATAGCAATGGCAATGTCCGCTGACCCTGTTTTTACTAAATAGGCCAACTAATGGCAAGTTGTGGCATTACAGATATTTATTGTTGATGGTGCATAGAGCGGCAGCGGTGTCAATGAATCAAGCTTCATTAACATTTCAAAACATATTTATCTACAAACAAGACTTCAAATGTGTGTAGGAGGGATGTACCAGACACGACAGTGTGCGTGTGTGATAATACTGAAATACAGTATTAGTCAGTGACAGAGACAGGCTTGGCCAGAGAGAACAATGCATAGGCTACAATTATCCACTGACACGGTCGGCTCCTTTCATTTCAGCTCAATATACAGTGGCTCAACAGTTAAACCGTCTGAATCTGCATGTCAAGACAGAGCTCCCAGAGCCATTCATTCACTCCCACATACACACACACAATGCCACAGGAAAATAATACACACTTTGTTAATACGCCGGAAGTGTACACACACACACACATAGTAATTCAAAATATTTCTCCTCACACACTCAAACCAGGTAGACACATCAACACCCACGCACACTTTCAGATACCGCTTGCTTTTACAGAGTGGGTTTAATACTAAACGCCAACCACAGACCTTCTCAGTGACTACCTAACACAGCTCCTCCTGTCATATCTCCCTCTCATCAGCCCTGCCAGAGGTTATATTACATTGTGGCTTCAGGTTTCCTGAGTATTTACCAGGAAATACTGGAGGACGCAGGCCTTTCATCTGGCTAATGAGACACTCTCACCAACACGTGGCGAGACTGATAGGAGAGGCCACACTGTCCCGTGGCTAGCCCTGTTTGGCCGTCTTCCCCTACTTCTTTGAACTGCCGCTGACGGTTGTTGTGTTGTTGGCTCACAGTGTCTAGTGGTCTACCTTATCTGATTGCCACTGGGTGAGGAGAGGAGAGAAGGCCTCCTCAGGGCATGACATGTGCCCCTGATCTGTTGTGCCACTGTAAAACTGTCTGGCCTCAGGACTTGGCAGCTCTGGGGCCAACAGTCACCCAGTCAGTGGAAAAAAGAGCTTGCTAACGTTGTCAACACAAACGGGATTTAGACAGGATGAGTCCGTATTGCTTTGTGACTAATGTACTTACTCACAGGTTTTAGTCACTGGAAGGTTTGATACATTGCTCAACTCTGGGGCTCAGTGACAAATACACTGCTAAAAAAAATTAAGGGAACACTAAAATAACACATCCTAGATCTGAATGAATGAAATAATCTTATTAAATACTTTTTTCTTTACATAGTTGAATGTGCTGACAACAAAATCACACAAAAATTATCAATGGAAATCAAATGTATCAACCCATGGAGGTCTGGATTTGGAGTCACCCTCAAAATTAAAGTGGAAAACCACACTACAGGCTGATCCAACTTTGATGTAATGTCCTTAAAACAAGTCAAAATGAGGCTCAGTAGTGTGTGTGTGGCCTCCACGTGCCTGTATGACCTCCCTACAACGCCTGGGCATGCTCCTGATGAGGTGGCGGATGGTCTCCTGAGGGATCTCCTCCCAGACCTGGACTAAAGCATCCGCCAACTCCTGGACAGTCTGTGGTGCAACGTGGCGTTGGTGGATGGAGCGAGACATGATGTCCCAGATGTGCTAAATTGGATTCAGGTCTGGGGAGCGGGCGGGCCAGTCCATAGCATCAATGCCTTCCTCTTGCAGGAACTGCTGACACACTCCAGCCACATGAGGTCTAGCATTGTCTTGCATTAGGAGGAACCCAGGGCCAACCGCACCAGCATATGGTCTCACAAGGGGTCTGAGGATCTCATCTCGGTACCTAATGGCAGTCAGGCTACCTCTGGCGAGCACATGGAGGGCTGTGCGGCCCCCCAAAGAAATGCCACCCCACACCATGACTGACCCACCGCCAAACCGGTCATGCTGGAGGATGTTGCAGGCAGCAGAACGTTCTCCACGGCGTCTCCAGACTCTGTCACGTCTGTCACGTGCTCAGTGTGAACCTGCTTTCATCTGTGAAGAGCACAGGGCGCCAGTGGCGAATTTGCCAATCTTGGTGTTCTCTGGCAAATGCCAAACGTCCTGCACGGTGTTGGGCTGTAAGCACAACCCCCACCTGTGGACGTCGGGCCCTCATCCCACCCTCATCGAGTCTGTTTCTGACCGTTTGAGCAGACACATGCACATTTGTGACCTGCTGAAGGTCATTTTGCAGGGCTCTGGCAGTGCTCCTCGTGCTCCTCCTTGCACAAAGGCGGAGGTAGCGGTCCTGCTGCTGGGTTGTTGCCCTCCTACGGCCTCCTCCACGTCTCCTGATGTACTGGCCTGTCTCCTGGTAGCGCCTCCATGCTCTGGACACTACGCTGACAGACACAGCAAACCTTCTTGCCACAGCTCGCATTGATGTGCCATCCTGGATCAGCTGCACTACCTGAGCCACTTGTGTGGGTTGTAGACTCCGTCTCATGCTACCACTAGAGTGAAAGCACCGCCAGCATTCAAAAGTGACCAAAACATCAGCCAGGAAGCATAGGAACTGAGAAGTGGTCTGTGGTCACCATTTATTGGGGGTGTCTTGCTAATTGCCTATAATTTCCACCTGTTGTCTATTCCATTTGCACAACAGCATGTGAAATTTAGTGTCAATCAGTGTTGCTTCCTAAGTGGACAGTTTGATTTCACAGAAGTGTGATTGACTTGGAGTTACATTGTGTTGTTTAAGTGTTCCCTTAATTTTTTTGAGCAGTGTACATCCTTCCAAGTTGGAAAATGCCTTTTGGGCAGTCATGCTTAAGTCCCCTATTGTATTGACATTTGACAAACTAGCCAATACCTGCCCATTCATTCTCACAACAATGCTAATGTTTGCTTTCGAGCAACAAGGATATGTATCGTACTCATTCCCAGGGTCTTCTACATTCAAACTAGATGATTCCTATTGTAAACTACTGCTGCCATTATCCCACAACTTCAACTAAATCTGCTAGACTTATCCTCCTTCAATGGTGCCATGTGAATTTCTCTCTCCCTTTTCTCTCTCAGTTTCTCTTTCTTTTCTATTGAATTACCACCATTTTCTTGTGCAATCTCCAAGACCACAGGAGACTTGTTGGAGGAAAGATTAGGCTGATTGAAGTGAGGGAGTCAAGAAGATTTTCCAGCGGCGCTCCAAACACGTGGGTGTCACTTTCTCATCACCTCTTCAAATGGGCTTTCTAGAAAGTTTGTCAAACTACATCAGAACGTTCGAAAAATGGTTTATAGAGGAAATAGAAGGGAGGGAAGAAGGGAGGGAGAGAGGAGGAAGGATAGAGGAGGAGGGAGAGAGGAGGAGGGAGAGAGGGAGAGGGGAAGAGAGGAAGGAGGAGGAGGAGGGGAAGGGAGGGAAGAGGGGGAGGGAGAAGGGGGGAGAGGGGGATGGAGGAGGAGAGAGGAGGGGGAGAGAGAGGAAGGAGGAGGAGGAGAGGAGAGATAGGGAGAGAGAGGAGGGGAGAGAGGAGGAGGGGAGAGAGGAGGAGGGGAGGAGGAAGGGAGAGAAGAGGAGGAGGAGAGAGAGGAGGGAGAGAGGAGGAAGGATGAGAGGAGAGGGAGAGAGGAAGAAGGAGAGAGAGAGGAGGAGGGGGAGAGGAGGAGGAGGTGAAGTAGGAGAGGAGAGGGAGAGAGGAGGAGGGAGAGAGGAGGAAGGAGAGAGGAGGAGGGAGAGAGAAAGAGGGAGAGAGGAGGAGGAGGGAGAGAGGAGGAGGGAAACGCACACACCTCCAGGTTTCTGAGACGCCTTCAAAATCAGGCATCTGTGTGTGACACACGCTTTTCTTCAGCAAAGTTGTTTCCCTCTTAGATGCCAGGTTTGACACCAAGCTCAGGAGAGGAGAGGAGATGAGGGAAGGAAGGAGGGAGGGAGGAGAGAGAAGGTAAAGGGTGAAGATGGGTTGAGAAAGGAAAGGATAAAGAAGGAGGAGGGAAACTGAGAGAAAAAGAGAAACAGACAGAAGCAGCTGCTCTCACTTTTCTTTTCTCAGAAGCGACACTGGGTCGAGCATTTTTTCCCCTTGGGGAACGCGCTCACAAAATGTCTGCTAACTGCTGGGCCCACAAAGCACGGTTGTGTTTGTGTATCTTGCTCTGCAGCAGAACTACAATGCCCTGATAGAGCTTTCATCTTCTATAAACACAGATGTTAGAGAATATTCCCTCTGCAGTGCCCTGCTTGCTATCTACTGAACACCATTAACAACATGCCATTTCGCCACTGGGAGGAGAAGCTAATTTATCTTATCATGATAATGGTACTTTGAGGTAAAATGCAAAACACTCCAACCAACAAAGTTTTCAAACGGAAAGACTTTTGAATGTCACTTGATGTCATGGTAATATTGGGCTTCAGTGGAGACAAAAGACGGAACATCCGTCTTCCTAAAACAATTCACTACTACTATTCAACATTGTAGTCCCTTTAAGGACATAAAGTGCATAACTGTAACAAAAACAATACACATTCAATCTAAGAAATACCCGATATCTGAGTACCATACGCCTGCCTTTAGATTGTCGGCCATTTTACAGTAAAAGCCACTACATAGAGAGCTCCCTTTTGAACTCCACAAGGCCCAGTGTTGTCCTTTAACCACAATCATAAAATCAGATAAGAGGGGCTAGTTGTCTGAATCAAAGACAGAGCAGAGAGGCCGTCACATAGGATCCATGCATGGAAGCAGTTGCATCATTATGCCTTTGGAAAGCATGGGCAGATTGGAAACTGAACCTCAGCTCCAGACCCCTTTGCCCGAGCTGCAGCCATTAGAGGAAGAATCACACAGAGCCCTGTGATGGTGCTTGTGAGGAGAACCCCAGGAGTACCAGGGGAAAATGTAGTCTCTCTCTCTCTTTATTTTTGCATGCATCAGCCCATCTGCATGTGCCAAAGCAATC